GTAGGAACAGAGAGAGGTCTTCCATCCGCTGGTTCACTCCCCAGATGGCTACAATGGCGAGAGCTGTGCAGATCAGAAGCCAGGAGCTTCCTCCAGGTCTCCCATGTGGGTACAGGGGCCCAAGGACTTGGGCCATCCTCTACTGCTGTCCCAGGCCACAGCAGAGAGCTGGATCAGAAGAGGAGCACTTGGGACTAGAACTGGTGCCCATATGGGAGGCCAGCACTTCAGGCCAGGGCTTTAACCCGCTGTCCCACAGCGCCAGCCTCAACTACATTTCTCCATTATTGTCAATTCTCTACCTAAATTAGAAGTTATACTTTATTGGGGCCAGCATTGTGGCTCACTTGGCTAATCTTCCACCTATGGCACCAGCATCCCATATGGGCACCGGTTTCTAGTCCTGGCTGCTCCTCTTCCAGTCCAGCTCCCTGCTGTGGCCCGGGAGGGCAGTGGAAGATGGCCCAAGTGCTTGGGGGCCTGCACCCATGTGGGAGACCAGGAGGAAGCACCTGGCTCCTGGCTTCAGACAGGCTCAGCACACCGGCCGTAGCGGCCATTTGTGGGGTGAACCAACGGAAGGAAGACCTTTCTCTGCTTTCTCTCACTGTCTAACTCTGCCTGTCAAAAAAATAAAGTTACACTTTATCATAATACATACATCTGTATAGGAAAGAAACAGTACATGCTTGAATTAAGCGCAAGCTACAGTGGCAGGCATCCACGGGGGGTCCCAGGAACCATTGTGTGGATAAGGTGGGGCCACTGGAAACGCGGGGTATGGGGAGGAACCATGCAAAGGTCCACTACAACATGGCAATCCTGACTCAGCCGTGGTTTTCCTTCTTCCCTTCTGGTCAGAAAACTTAACATGTAAAGCACCAAACTTTCTATCAATCCTCTTAGTTGGTCTATGGATCCAAGGAATATTTGGGGGACTGGTATCCTCTAGAACAGTGCTCACAGCATGTAGGGTTCATTTCATTTGTCATTTTACAAGTCACATCCCTAGCAAGTTACCGATTACAATTGGCCACCTGAGGTTTGACACACACCAAATGCTGGCACCCGAGCGTTCTCTCTGCGGAAGGCCGCAGCTCCCTCTCCTCCTCCCCATGAAAGGGCAGCTTTATTCTGCCCACAGGCTGTCCAAATGGAGCCCGAACCCAGTGAGGGGCTGCCGCGGCTCTTGGAACCAGTGAGTCAAACAGGAGGTATTCAACTAACACAGGAGTTGATTCAAACCGATAAACAGCAGGAAACTCAGAGCCGAAGCAAAACCAGCTCCTGACATGCCCCATTGTTCCGCGGCACACTGAGCCCCTCGCTGCTTCAAGCGCCTGCCTATCTCATCTGCACTAAATACCAAAGCTGAATGCATCTATTTACGGCAGATGTAGCATCATCCTTGAATTTCCAGATTTAAATCACTGTTGTCCTTTCTTGGTTATTTTCTAAAGTGACAGCTTTTGTCAAAGAAGCTGAAGAAAAATAGGCTGCATATGGAGCAGGGAGTCAGGGGACCAGCATACGCTTCAACACTGTGGGAGAGAATCTCTCCAGTTTCAACTGAGCAGATGGATCAGCCCTGAGGAGTAACGTTGTCCTACGATTTACAAGTACAATCTTTCACAGGCCACCCTCAGTTCTTGGAGCTCTGGCTGCTCAGCTGTAGCACCCTAGCACCATGCGAAAACGCACATCCGAGGATTCGCCTCAGTAACGACCAACTATTTTTCTGCTCCTAATTTTGGCACTAATATTGAATTGCCATCAAAACTACTCATTTTCTTCTTCTTGAAATCATAGATTTCAGACCACATTCCATACTCAGCCATCACATGACACACCAACAACCCCACCAACCTCTATTCTGGCAGGAAAAATACGTATGGCTGCATACAAAGGCATATCAAGAAATTCATTGAAATTGTATTAAAAGATACTTGCAATTTTCCCTCAACCTTTGAAGACCCCACATACACTTGTGTGCTTATAAATCCATTTAGAGTAGTTCAGTAACTGAGTTATCCCTTAAATCAGTTTCACGTGATTCTTTAAGAGTTTATTCAAAAAAGAGTTACACAGGGAAGGAGAGAGGGATGGATCTTTCATCTGCTGGTTCACTCCCCAAAATGGTCTCTGTGATCAGGCTGAAGCCAGAAGCTTCTTCCAGGAAACCCACGTGGGTGAAGCGGACCAGGTACTTGGGTCATCTCTGGCTGCTTTTTCCCCCATGAGCACTAGCAGGGAACTGGATCTCAATTGGAGCAGCCAGGACTCCAGTTGGCCTCCATATCAGATGGCAGCACTGGCTGCCAAAGCTTAACCCACTACTCAACGGTGCCAGCCCACATGATCCATTTGAAAGCAACTGTGCATCATCACCAATAATCGTGCCTTTTCCATTCCACCAAGTTTTTTTTTTTTATCCTCAACAATGACAAAATGGGGATGGCACTGTGGCATAGTGGGCTATGCCTGCAGCACTGGCATCCCCTATGGGCACCAGTTGGAGTCCTGGCTCCTCCTCTTCCGACCCCCCTCTCTGCTATGGCCTAGGAAAGCAGTGGAAGATGACCCAAGTGCTTGGGCCCCTGCATCCACATGGGGAGACCCAAAAGTAGCTCCTGGCTTTGGATTGTCCCAGCTCTGGCCATCTTGACCATTTAGAGAGCGCATTAGCAGATCGAAGACCTGTCTCTAACTCTGCCTCTCAAATACATCTTAAAAAAAAAAAAAATGACCGAAAATGGTAGAAAATCTTCGAAACACCATTTAGCTCTCAGTCTTCGACTTTTAACCTCACTTACAAAATAATTATCTCTCTCAAATGACATGATATAGCAACGTTAAGTTACAGAATTCTTGGACCCCTCAAGTTTTAGTTTTACTTCTGAAAAAAAATTTTTTCGGGACCAGCACTGTGCTGCAGTGGTTAAAATTTTGATATGGATATTTTACAACAAAAAGGTGATCCACAGAATGGTAAAAATTTGGAAATACTATCTCAGAAGAGACTTTTGTCTGAAATATGATGAAATCCTGTAACTCAAAAAAAAAAAAAAAAAGAGAGATAACCTGCTAAGAGAACAGTCAAAAGGAACCTGACAGACATTTCCTCAGACACTCATGGCTAGGGCAGGCATTGTGGTGCAAGAGGTCAAGCCGTCGATTGGGACATAACACAACCCAAATCAGAACGTCAGTTAGCCTCCCCCGCCTCTGCTTGCATTCCAGCTCTTGCTCAATGGCCTGGGAAGGCAGCAGATGACGACTCCAATACTTTTACACTTGATCTTAGCCAAAAAGCTGAGAAACAATTGACTCAAGTACTTTTGTCCCTGCCCTGAGCTGGGCTTTCTGACCTGTGGCTTTGGCCTTGCTCAGTCCCAGATGTTGCAGGCATTTGGGAATTAAACCTCCGGCTGCACACTCCTCTCTTGGTCATTGCCACTCTACCTATCAAGCAAATGAATCTAAAAAAAGAAAAAATACAAGTGGCTGACAAACCCATAAAGACACATCATATCATTATTTGAGAAATGCACATCAAAATGAGTGAGATTTCATACCCCTTGGACAGCTAGAATCAAAAAATCAGTCTTAAGGATGCAGAAAATTCAGAACCCATGGTGGGAATATAAAGCAGTGCAACTGCTTGGGAAAACAGACAAGCAGTTCTGAACCTCAGATGCACCCTATGACTCAGCAATTCCATTCCCAGGTGTACGGATCGTCTACCAGGATTATACACAACAGCCAAAGTAAGGAAACAATCTAAGCAGCCATCAACAGCCAAACAAACAAAACTGCGCATGACCCTACAATGGAATGTTCTTCACCAACCAAAAAATGTAGTTTTGACACATGTTACTACGTCAAAGAACCACGAAAACATGCTAAGTGAAAGCCAAGCCTGAGAAGCCACCTAGCGTATGATCTCACTCATACCAAGGCCACAGTAAGGCAGCCTCAAGCCAGGTTACCGATTCCTTCGAGCTTGGAGTCGGCACGACAGGGTCTAGGGAGGTACACAGTGAAAGCATATGGCTTTCATTTTCAAGTGATGAAAAGTTCTAAAATTCATGATGCTAATAGTGTTCTGTCTTTGTGACTGTATTATAAGCCATTGAATTATACTAAGTGGGCCAATTATCTTGTATGGTGATTAAATCCAACAAAGCTTAAAAAACTGGAATCAAGGAAAGATCATTTACAAAAAGGGCCATTGTTTCTTGCATCTAGGGATGACTTTTGGGTTGTAGATTAGGGCTGTAAAAACCCAAAGAAGTCACTCCATCAGCCCTAAATCTGTGTACCCAGGGCTCTCAAGGTAGGGAGTATATTAAAACTCATAGATGAGGATACTTCAAAACATTCACGGAAAATCAGATTCAAATCTGTGTTAATTTTGTTACAACAGACCCTTGAAATCACAGGCTAGCTTTTCCATCAGCTAGCTTTTCCATATGTCCCTCTAACAGCCCTTGTGCCTACCTAAAGCTCTTTGGTAGTAAAACCCCGTCACTACCAGTTTAGTTTAGGAGGAACTACCCTAAGCCCACCTGGAAAACAACCTGTGCGTACACTGTGGCAGGCGTTAACTCCCCCACATACCCCAACAAAAGCCTTCTCCAAAGTCAGGGCTTTCAGATCAAATGGGAGACAATGCATCTTAAGTCTTGAATACAGCTTTGCTCAGAACCATCTGCAAAGCAATTTCCTCTAAATGAGTGGGGCAAACGTTCTACTATTTTGTGTGAGGCGGCTGATCCATGCAAGGCAACTAAGGAGCAGAGTTAGTGTACTGTGCATCAAGCACACCAAGACAACAGAAACGGTCACCTGCGTGCTCTCCTCGTCAGCCTCCCTTCATCAGGATGGAGGTCAGAAGCTAGCCTTCCCTTCACTCTGCCAACAACAAGATCAACAGCTCAGCCCAGGCCAGCTTTTAGCAACTCTCCGGAATGATCACTTAAAAGTAATCTTTAATACAACATACACACAAAACTATGCCATTGAAATGAATTTATTCTTCCATTAAGTAAGACTACAATAATCAGGGTTGTCAATGCAGAGTTGCCATTCCACCCAAAATTAATTCTAAGATTTTTTATCAAAAATAAGATCTTTATGAAACAAAAAAAACTCAGTGAGAAAGAAATCTCCCCCAAATAATGTTTCACTTCAATGTGGAAATAGGCCAATAGCAACAATTCCCTTTGCACTCAAAGATTCCACACCATGTGCTCATTTGCACATGCCTCTCTTCATACAACACACCAACTCAGGTGTGACCTAGGAAGCTTCCTCCAGAAGGTTCGCACAGGCCCCCAGCACTCACTCTGCCCAACAGGCTCATGGCTGTAGTCGAGCAGCACATGCTAACGACAGGTGCACTTTGTAGCTATCATATCTTCATACTCTTTGTAGGCAATGGAGCCACCGGGCTCAATGGTCAAAACGCTCAGGGGGCTGTATCTGGCAGGTACACACGACGGCCTCGGCACCGAGGAGTCGAGCTTCTCGTAGATGATGTTCTGCACCACGGTGTGAACCGGAGAGCCATACCGGTGCCCGACGGCCCTGGGACAGTCCCCCTTGCAGTATCGAGGGTTGTACCTGTGTGGCGCCACGATCCAGTTGTCCCATTTCAGCTGACTGAAGCTAAGGCGAAAGTCATGGAGCTCACACTCATCCTGGGGAAAGACAAACTGTTTGAAGTATTCACTCAGATTTAAAGCAGCTGGAACCAGGGGCTGCTTCAGTTGAGAGCCGACAGCGTCCTGACCTCTCTGACGCCTGGACGATCTGCCCACCTGCGCAGCCTCTTCTCCTGCCCCAGGGGCAGGCCGACTTTGCTGCCGGAGACCCCGTGAAGGCCTCCTCCTGTAGGGTAGGGAATACCACCCGTGATAGGCCTGCGCACTGGTGTCATTCAAATACAAGATGAGGGAGGGGGACGCTAGCACAGTTAGGTTCAAGGGGCCCTCCTGTGCAGCGGGACGCTGCTGCTGGTCTTTCAGGCAAGTGCAGTTTCCAGACAGGTGGACGTGGCTCTCACTGGAGGCCACGAGAGGCTCAAGGAGTGGGGTCACGTCAATCTCAGCCCACTTGTGTTTCTTCCTGAATTCAAACCGTGACTGCAAGGTGAGTGGGCGTGGAGTCGATGGCTGCGTCTCGCTGGAAGTCCCCGTTTCCTTCGTCACCAGGCTGCACACACACTGCACAGCACTGGAGACAGAGACGGAGCTGTCGAGAGTGTAGAGCAGGACCGACTTGATCAGGTGTTCCACGGCAGTAACGCGATCCAGGTTAAACAGCAGGTCCGCGGGCGGCAGGACTCCTGCAGAAACACAAGCCCCCAGCAGCGCTTGAGTGGCCACCCCACACACAGGCAGGCAGGCAGGGAGCAGCACCAGGGCACTTCACAAGGCTTAGTGAGTGCAAAGGAATGCAAAGATGTGCGGATTTTGTTGTTACTGTTGTTGTTAAGAATACACATTTTCCACAAACTTTCTGAAGGCCCCTGGTGCCGTGTAGTATGTGCCGCCCACCCCCAACTTCCCTAAGCCACAAAGACACGGGGGGGGGGGGTAATAAATATCGCAGGGACCATCGACACCACCACTAACTCCCAGTCCCCACATCCAGCCATTTCGTCTCCACCAACTCGGCACGCTTTGGGGATGAACTGACGTTAACAGGGCATCATTACGTCATCCTGAGGTTTCAGTCTTCGTCATTTGCTCCTAACACCAAGGACACTCATCAAGGAAGTAATTTTTCAAGGAGATCCTCCAGAGGGAAACGGTAATTAAAAACACCATCCGTCTTTTTTAAGAAGGCAGACGCCTTAGGCCCCGACTGAATGAAGTCGATTGAAAACTCAGTTGTCCACGTTAATGTAGAACACTTGAGTTGGAAAACCGCAGGGAAAAATCAAGAACCACGACAGTGAAATGGGGTAATCAGAAAGCAGGGAGGGTTTCCATCAGCCATGACCGCCAGGCTGAGTTAGAAACCGGCTCAAGCCGGTACGGCACAGAGTTTGTGTGAGCATTTGCTCCTCCCTCACACACTGCAGACAGGGCAACTTGTTACAAACACCCTGTTCTCTCCGACACCGACTGCCCCACGTGGGGACTGCCGCTCTCCTCTCACGCCGTTTAATGCACAGGCGCAGGTGTGAGGGATGGTGCAGATGCGTTTCTGGGCCAACGGCTTGGCCGACCAGAGAGGGACGGTAACCTTCTCCTCCAGTTCCAGCCCCGAGCAAACCTCACCTGGCTGGAAAACTATCACACCAGCCCACCTCTACAATGAGAGCGTTAGTGAGAAGCAGAAGATCAAGGGCCAGACCTGTTTGGCTGTCAATCTCAGGCAAAGTAAAGTGCAGTTCAAAGGCAAGGCTCAGCTCCTTTCTGTAACTGAAATGCAGGAGCTTCTAACAGGTTTCCGCTACACACGGACCCCCCCCCCCCCCATCTGCTCTTACACACCTGTTTCCGGGCGTCCTGGAGCCTGCTTCTGCTGGACCCAGGGTGTGAAGAGTCGAACTGTGTTGTAGAGGTGATTTCTGTTGGCTTTAGGAATCCCCTCCTTGGTAGCGTAAGCTTTATAAAGCTTCTTCATGTACTGCAACGCTCTCGAGTCTGGCTGCAGCCTAGGGGCCTCACCTCGCCCATCAGACAGAACTTTGAAGAGAGGGGGAAGGAGGCCAGGTCGGTCTCTCCCATCTGCAGGCCACAACGAGGACCCAGGCTCAACCTCAGACTCCAACGCAGCATTGGCGGCAACCCAAGCTTCTGCCCTGGGAGGCTGGGAACCAAAGCTAGCTGAAAAACACATGCAGGCAAGACAGCAAAACCACAGAAGGAATTTGCTGGGAAGCGCCATGGCTGGGGAGAACTAGCAAGGAAAACATCTCCCCATGCCAGTCTCCTTCCCAAAGGCCAGGAAGGCACTGGCTTGTCTCTTAAATAAATTTTAGGTGTGTGTGTGGAGTGTAATCAGACCTCAAGGACGCCTAGCTGAAGGTGATTTTTATCAGCTCTATGTCAGCCAGCTGATGCTGTCCTTTATCTAATAGATGCTCATTAGATACAGGTTGATTTCATCACTTAGTGTTCCTCTCCCTTAACCATCACCACCCACCCCTGCATTTACTGAAAACTCAGTTTTACCAATGGACTAGCTATGCAGCTGGGAGTCTAAGACACACAGAGGAATGACCTTCAAATTAAACCTTTCATTGTTTTTGGTTTTTTTTTTTTTTTTTTTTTTTTTTTTTATGGAGACATCAAGGTTCTTAAAACGGTCCTTAGGTGCTTGATGAAATGGCCAGGGCATGCGGAAAAGCTAAGGATTCATGACACTCAGATGTGTTGTCTGCTCTCCCTCAACGCAGTTGCTCCCGCTTCCAGGTGCGTGGGATAAGTCATCCTTTCCTTCGTGGTGCCTCGGAGGGTGAGAGGAGGTCACAATGGGTCTAACCGTTCCAGAGCATGGAACAGTGAGCTCGCCCGATCCTTCCAGGCGGCTGAGGACAAAACACGTGCTGGGAGCACTGCAGTTATCCTGGTGGTGTACTCTGACGTGGGGGAGTTCCCTTCAAACTTTTAAAGCCTGGGATCTCGACCACCTTCCGCTGCCTAACGTGCCTGTGTATAAACATTTTTTTGAGGGGCCGGCACCATGGCTCACTTGGTTAATCCTCCGTCTGTGGCACTGGCATCTCATATGGGCACTGGGTTCTAGTCCCGGTTGCGCCTCTTCCAGTCCAGCTCTCTGCTGTGGCCCAGGAGGGCAGAGGAGGATGGCCCAGGTGCTTGGGCCCCTGCACCCACACGGGAGACCAGGAGCAGCACTGGCCGTAGCGGCCATTTGGGGAGTGAACCAATGGAAGGAAGACCTTTCTCTCTGTCTCTCTCTCTCTCTCTCTCACTGTCTAACTCTGCCTGTCAAAAAAAAAAATTGTTTTTAAAGGTTTTGAGATGTTTGCAGATGCTGTAATGTTTTATTTTTTACTAATCACCCAAATGGTGGTAGGATTCAGTACAGTATTTTTTTCTTTAGGTGTTGTATTTTATGTTCTTGGAGCTGAGAAGGGGCCAGGTATGTTTGTTTGTTATTTTTTTTATTTTTTATTTTTTGACAGGCAGAGTGGACAGTGAGAGAGAGAGACAGAGAGAAAGGTCTTCCTTTGCCGTTGGTTCACCCTCCAATGGCCGACGCGGCCGGCGCACCGCGCTGATCCGATGGCAGGAGCCAGGAGCCAGGTGCTTTTCCTGGTCTCCCATGGGGTGCAGGGCCCAAGCACCTGGGCCATCCTCCACTGCACTCCCTGGCCACAGCAGAGAGCTGGCCTGGAAGAGGGGCAACCGGGACAGAATCCGGCGCCCTGACCGGGACTAGAACGCGGTGTGCCGGCGCCGCTAGGCGGAGGATTAGCCTAGTGAGCCGCGGCGCCAGTCGGGGCCAGGTATGTTTTAAAAAATCAGACAAAGATGCATCATGAAAAACTGAGCTAGGAGAATACCAAGGGCCACACTGAGGGAGACTGTTTGTTGGCAGAAAGTCAACCAAACTATAGTCATGGTTTGATACACAAAACCAGTTTGTGCAGTATTTAGATTAATAAAACTGATATATGGTTATAAAATGTGTTTGCTGTCTATAGGGGCTAGCACTGGGGTATAGGTTAAGCATATGGGCACTGGTTTAGCTCCCACTTCTGATCTAGCTCCCTGTTAATTCACTCGGGAAAGCAGTGGATGGCCCAAGTACTTGGGCCCCTGCATCCGGGAGGGAGCTCCTGGCTTCGGCCTGGCCCAGCCCCTGCCATTTGCAGCCATTTGGGGAGTGAACCACAGGAAGGAAGCTCTCTATCTCTGTATCTCTGCCTTTCAAATAAATAAATAATTAAAAAAAAATAAAAAAGTTCGCTGTCTGCCAAACTTCCCTGATCTGAGGCTAGTAAGCAAGGTTATAAAACTGCTGGATGGGGTCGGCACTGTGATTAACGCCCTGGCCTGAAGCACCGGCATCCCATATGGGTGCCGGTTCAAGACCTGGCTGCTCCACTTCTCATCCAGCTCTCTGCTATGGCCTGGGAAAGCAGCAGAAGATGGCCCAAGTCCTTGGGCCCCTGCACCTGCGTGGGAGACTCAGAAGAAGCTCCTGGCTTCGGATCCATGCAGCTCTGGCCGTTGCAGCCAATTGGGGAGTGAACCCCAACGGATGGAAGACCTCTCTCTCTCTCTCTCTCTCTTTCTCTCTCTCTCTCTGCCTCTCCTCTCTCTGTGTAACTCTTTCAAATAAATAAATAAATCTTTAAAAAAGGAAAAAACTGCTGGATGAGCGTTTAGGTCTAGATTCCCTTTGGCCAACACTTGTGCTAACAAAACATGCAGAGTAGCAGCGAGCGCGACGAGCAACACCGTGCACTCGGGGAACACATGCCGTAGCCCCTGCCCCCTCCTTGGGCAGGAGGAGGAATTTGGGCTGCAAGACGCAGCCACTCCCAGGCCAGAGCACACGGCTGTGCTGTGGAGGCGGCCCCTTCTCTCCCTCATCCACCACCAACAGTGTTTACTGAGTGCCTGACGATGACGCCATGACTGCCGTGGCTGCACTGGGGAGATGTGTTTCCTTTTAATTAACATTTATTTATTTATTTATTTATTTACAGGCAGAAGGGACAGTGAGAGAGAGAGACAGAGAGAAAGGTCTTCCTTTGCCATTGGTTCACCCTCCAATTGCCACCGCGCTGATCCGATGGCAGGAGCCAGGAGGCAGGTGCTTCTCCTGGTCTCCCATGGGGTGCAGGGCCCAAGCACCTGGGCCATCCTCCACTGCACTCCCTGGGCCACAGCAGAGAGCTGGCCTGGAAGAGGGGCAACCGGGACAGAATCCGGCGCCCTGACCGGGACTAGAACGCGGTGTGCCGGCGCCGCTAGGCGGAGGATTAGCCTAGTGAGCCGCGGCGCCGGCCTAATTAACATTTTTTAAACAGACACACAAACTGTGGCTATTATGGGGTACTCTGTGATGTGTAACACGTATACATTGTGTTACAGCCAATCGGGGTAAATATATTTATCCAAGTATTTAACATTTCTTGTGCTCACTGCCTTCTCCATCCTCTGGTAACCACTGTATGAGAGCGCCTATATTTTAGACTCAGTTGAGATCACATGCCATTTGCCTTTCCCTGCTTGGCTTATTTCACTTAACACAGTGACCTGCAATTGTATCCATGTTGTTGCGAATGACGAGATTGCATCCTTTTTGATGGCTGAGTAATACCGTATTATGTATTTGCACGTTTCCTTTAGTCCTTCACCAGCTGATGGACACCTAGGTCGTTTCCAATGCAATGTTAATAAAGTCCATATGTAACAAGTCAATACTAACATACTGAATGGGGAACAACTAGAGGCTTGATCTTAAGACCTGGAACAAGACAAGGAAGCTCACTTTCACCACTTACATTCAACCTAGTGCTGGAAGTCCCAGTTGGAGCAACTGGCCAAGAAAGAAATATATCCCAACTGAAAAAGAGGAAGTCAGACTGTCGCTGTAGATGACATGTTCTTATGCAGAAACACACCAAGACTCCACCAAAAAGCTGTTAGAACTAATGAATAAATTCAGCAAAGCTGCAGGATACAAAGTCAATAGAAAACAGTAGCACGGGGCTGGCATGGTGGCATAGTGGCTTAAGCTGCTGGTTAGTATGCCTGGCCTGCATCTCAGCTGTGCTGTTTCTGATCCAGCTTCCTGCTAATACACTTGGGAAGGCTGTGGAAGATGGCCCAAATTGTTGGGCCCCTGCCATTCATGTGGGAAATCCCAATGGAGTTCCTGGCTCCTGGTGGTCCAGCCCTGGCTATTGTGGCCACTTGGGGAAGTGAACCAATACATGGAAGATCTCTCTCTCTCTCACTCTGCCTTCCAAATAAGTAAATGCCTCTCAAGAAATCAGCAGCATTGGGGCCGTTGTTGTGGCATAGCAGGTTAACCTGCCGCCTGCGATGCCAGCAACCCATATGGGCACTGGTTTGAGCCCCGGTTGCTCCACTTTCCATCCAGTTCCCTGCTAATGTGCCTGGGAAAGCAGCGGAAGATGACCCAATTACTTGGGCCCCTGAACTCATATGGGAGACTTCGTTGAAGATCCTGCTCCTGGCTTCAGCGTGGCCTAGCCCTGGCCAAGCCCTGGCCATTGTAGCCATGTGGGCAGTGATGAGGGGATGGAAGATCCCTCTCCAAATTTGCCTTTGAAACAAATAAATCTTTTTTTTTTTTTTTTATTTGACAGATAGAGTTAGACAGTGAGAGGGAGAGACAGGGAGAAAGGTCTTCCTTCCGCTGGTTCACCCCCTAAATGGCCGCTATGGCTGGAGCTACTCTGATCCGAAGCCAGGAGCCAGGTACCAGGTGCTTCCTCCCGGTCTCCCATGGGGTGCAGGGCCCAAGCACTTGGGCCATCCTCCACTGCCCTCCCGGGCCACAGCAGAGAGCTGGCCTGGAAGAGGAGCAGCCAGGACTAGAACCCGGCACCCATATGGGATGCCGGCGCTGCAGGCGGAGGATTAACCAAGTGAGCCACGGCACCGGCCCCCAATAAATAAATCTTTTAAAAAGTCAGTAGCACTGTTATATACCAATAGTGAATCATCTGAAACACAAAGAAAGAAACCAATCCCATTTTTAAAAGGTACAAAAATATATATATAAATAAAACATCTAGAAATACATTTCCCAGGTTGAGGCGAAAGATCTCAACAATGAAAACTGTAAGTTATTGATGAAAGAAATTGAAGAGGACACAAAACAATGGAAAGACGTTTCATGTTCAGAGACTGGAAGAATCATTATCATTAAAATGTGTTAAAATACTACCCAAAGTGATTTACAGATTCACTGAAATCTTTCTAAAATCCCAATGATTTTCACAGAACTAGAAAAAAAACTACAGAAATTTATACAGAACCACAAAAATCTCTAAGGAGCCAAAATGATGTAGAACAAAAAGAACAAAGCAGGAAGCACTACACTAGATAGCTATAAAATTTATTATCAAGTTATAGTAATTAAAACAGCATGGCATAGGCAGAAGCATACCTACAAGCCAATGGAGAAGACTCTAGAATAAATCCAGGCATGCACAGCCAGCAGATCTCCGACAAAGGTGCTAGGAACATGAATTGGCAGAAGTGCTTTTAACAAATAGCGCTGGGAAAATTTCATGTCCACATGCAGAAGAATGAAACTAGTCTGGCATCTGCATGTACAAAAAAAATCGACTCAAAATGAATTGAAGGCCTAAATACGAGGCCTGAAACTTTCAACCTGTTAGCAGAAAACGGAGGCAAAGCGCTCAGGACACTGGGGTGCTCAGCTGTTTTCCAGCTCAGATCCCACCAGTACGGGGATGAAAGCAAGAAACAGGAGCAAGTGGACTTCACCAAACTGAAGGCTTTTGCACGGCCAAAGAAACACCACAGTGGAGACGACTACTGAAGGGGAGAAGGCGCTGCAAGCTGTCATCTGACAAGGGGTTGCACACCCGGACTACCTAAGGAACGCAACAGCACACGATCTGCACGGCCACTTCCAGAGGAGGACGGACACAGCGCCCACGGGCGTGGGAGAAGCGGCTCCACCTCAGGGACCGTGAGGGAAACGCCCACCGAACCCTCACCGAGTGCGATGCCCGCTGGCATCCTCACGGCACTGCACTCCCGCACAGCCCCGCAGTCCCCTCGCGGGCTTCCACCCGGGGCGCGCGGAACCCCTGTGTGGCGGGGTCCGAGCCAGAGGCCACCAGAGGCCCGAGACCGGCGCCGCGCTCCGTCAGGCCGGCTGGCCCGTCCTCTTCACCTCTTCGTCCCTCCCTCCGCCCGGCCCCTACGCTAAGTCCCTGCGCCGAGAAACGGGCGCCCCTCGGGGCCGGCCGCGCTGCCGGTCCCACCCCCGGCCCAAGCACCGGCTCCGGCCCGGGCGCCGCCCACCCCCGGCTCGACCGGCTAGGCCACTTCTCTCTAGAACGGGGGACAACGGCGTCTTCCCCCCGGAGACAGCCACCAAATGGTACCCCCCGGAAGTTCCTTCAGGGCTTCCAAGAGCTGCTTCCGCTTCCGCCGGAAGTGACGCACGGAGGCGGCTCACTCCCTGAACTTGGAGGGCGAGGTGACCCTGGTGTGCAGGTGGGGGCAGGTGGTGTGGTTCTGCTGGTCCCGGGTGGGTGAGGGTGCGGTGCTGCCCGGGCTGGGCCTCTGGTCCCGAGGCTGAGCCCCGCGCGCCTGTCCGCCTTGGCTCCCACAGGGCCGCCGCCACCATGGGCCGCGAGTTTGGGAACCTGACGCGGGTGCGGCATGTGATCAGCTACAGCTTGTCGCCCTTCGAGCAGCGCGCCTTCCCGCACTTCTTCAGCAAGGGCATCCCCAACCTGCTGCGCCGCACCCGGGAGTCCGTGCTTCGCGTGGTGCCCCGTGAGTGTCGGGGCCGGGCGGGGGCTAGGCGCCCCCAGCGTGGCGGCGGGACCTGGCCGTGCGCGGCCTTGGGTCACCTGGAGACACCGCCGGCTGCCTCCGAGGCCCTCTCTGTCCACTCCTCTTGCCGGTGGTGAAGGCTTTTTGGGTGACGTGTGCAGCAGAGGGTGGTGGTCTTTGGGGACATGGCCGGGATGGTGCCCTGACCCCGCGAAGGGTGCGGCCGTTTGGGGCCGGCGACCCTTATCGCGCGAACCCCGTCCAGTTTCCTGTTTAATGTGCAGCGGGGCGAGGTGGGGGCGCTTCGGTGGCAGATCTTGCTGGGTCACCCCTAAGGTGACCCATAAGGGGTGTGGACAGCCCTCTCTTGAGACCGCGGGGGCTGGAGGGCGGGGTGCCCCGTGCTCATTCTCCCTTTTGGTTCCCAAAGCATTTGTCGTGTTTTACCTTGTCTACACCTGGGGGAACGAGGAGTTTGAGAAATCCAAGAGGAAGAATCCCGCCGCCTACGAACATGACAAGTGAGCCAGCGGTTCGGATGGCGCTTTCCCTCCGGGAGAGGAGCCCGCGCTGTCGCCCCTGAAGACGCAATAAACGCCTCTGGGCTGCCCTGTTGTCATTTCACGTGTGTGTAGCGGACTCTGGTGTGGCTGCTGCTGAATGCTATTCCACTTAATATTATCCCCCGGCGCGCCCCTCCTCGGCAGGAAGCCTGGGCAGTTTCGCCTGCTGGGGCTGTGGTGAAGGAACAGGGCCCACAGCTTGTTCTGTCACCAGCAAGAATGTCTGTGCAGCTTCCGGGTTGTGGGCTGTGACTTCCTGCTCCCAGAGGAACAATAAACTCCAGCCAGCGAGCATAAGGACTGTGTGTACTCCAGCTTTCTTGGTTACACAATGCACTCGACATTTCTGTAGGCGTGTGCAGAGGGAGCGGTCGTTTGTCCAGAGTTGTTACACGGTGGGGCCTGGCACCGGAGGGTGGCTTCCTACAGTGATGCTGTGCCACCTTGCCGGGAGGCCAGCTGGGAAGGGAGAGATGGGGTGATCCCTTGGCCTCTGCAGCAAGGGTCAGTGAACTGTGGCTCTGCTTACGCTGGGAATCAGCAAGGGTTTCTTTTTTTTTTTTTTTTGACAGAGTGGACACTGGAGACAGAGAGAAAGGTCTTCCTTTGCTGTTGGTTCACCCTCCAATGGCTGCCGCGGCCGGTGCACCGCGCTGATCCGAAGCCAGGTGCTTCTGGTCTCCCATGGGTTGCAGAGCCCAAGCACTTGGGCCATCCTCCACTGCGCTCCTGGGCCACAGCAGAGAGCTGGCCTGGAAGAGGGGCAACCCGGACAGAATCCGGCACCCCGACCGGGACTAGAACCCGGTGTGCCGGCGCCGCAGGTGGAGGATTAGCCTATTGAGCCTCGGCGCCGGCCCAGCAAGGGTTTCTAATCATATGTGGTCCGGAGAGCCTCGGGTGCTTACTCTGGCCCTCTGTCAGAAGGCCTTGCCCCTAGTTGGGCACTGTGGTGCAGCTACGTAAGATGCTGCCAGCCTGGTTCAAGTCCTGGCTGCTCAGCTTCTGGTCCAGCTTCCTGCTGATGTGCCTGGTAAGGCCCCAGATGGTTGCCCCGGTCTTTGGGTCCCTCCCACCAACATGAAGACCTGGATGGAGTTTCTGGCTCCTGCCATAGGCCTGGCCCAGCCCCCGTTGTTCGATTTATTTGGGGAGTGAACCAACAGATGGGAGAGATAAGGGATGCTGTTGTCACAAGCATTGGTTTAACTGTCTGTGGCACAACACTGGTCCCCATAATTTTTTTAAAGATTTATTTAAAGGGGGAGAGAGAGTCTTCCATCTACTGGTTCACTCCCCAGATGGCCTCAATGGCTGGAGCTGTGCAATTCGAAGCCCATATAGGATGCTGGCAGTGCAGGCAGCGGCTGTACTGCATTTATTTTCACTGCTGTGTATTTTGGCAGTGTCACTACCATCTCCTTTTTTTTTTTTTTTTTTTTTTACCGATTTATTTATTTCAAAGACTCCCCAAATGGCCTCAATGGCTTGAGCTGGGCCAATCCAAAGTCAGGAGACAGGAGCTTCTTCTGAGTCTCCCACACTTTCCCAGGCCATAGCAGAGAGCTGGATTGGAAATGGAGCGGCTGGGACTCAAACCGGTGCCCATATGGGATGCCTGCACAGCAGGCAGCCATTTTACCTGCTATGACACAGTGCTGGTCCCCACTTCATCTTTTAAGAAAAAAAAGGTTTATGTTCCTGCTCTAGAGCCTTTGCATTACCTTTTTTTTTGGACAGGCAGTTAGACAGTGAGAGACAGAGAAAGGTCTTCCTTTGCCGTTGGTTCACCCCCTAATGGTTGCTGCGGCTGGCGCCCCACGCCGATCCGAAGCCAGGAGCCAGGTGCTTCTGGTATCCCATGCGGGTGCAAGGACCAAGCACTTAGGCCATCCTCCACTGCCCTCCCGGACCACAGCAGAGAGCTGGACTGGAAGAGGAGCCACTGGGACAGAATCCAGCGCCCCAACCGGGACTAGAATCTGGGGTGCCGGCGCCGCAGGTGGAGGATTAGCCTAGTGAGGCGCTGCGCCGGCCTTGAATTACCTTTTGAGTAGGAAAAGTGCTGTTTTCTTCATCAGGAGGTAATGGTGATAGGTGTGGTTGGCAGTTGGTGCTCCTGCTGTCATTTTGGAATCCTCTAAGGAGGCTTCCTGCTAGTTAGCAGCTCTCACAGGCAGGCTCAGGCTGAACTCCCTCTCCCCCACCCCCTTTTATAGATTATTTTAAATAGTTGGGGGAGAAAGCACTTCTGTCCCCTGGTTCATTGACCACAAAGGCTGGGACTGGGCCAGGCTGAAGCCAGGAGCCAAGAATTCCATCCCAGTCTCCCAGATGGGTGGTAGAGGCTGAGGCACTTAGGCCATCTGCTGCTGCTTTCCCAGGGTGCATTAGCAGGAATGGACGTAGAGCAGCTGGGACCTGAACCAGTGCTCTGTACAATTACGACGTTACAGGTGGCAGCTTTCACTTGCTCTACCACAAAGCTGGCCCCATATTTTCCCTTATTCTAATGACTGCTATGGCCTTTTTTTTTTTTTTTTTTTTTTTTTTGAAGATTTCTTTATTTGAAATAGTTACATGGATCTTCTGGTTCACTCCTCAATTGGTTGCAATGGCTGGAGCTGGGCCAGTCCAAAGACAGGAGCCAGGAGCTTCTTTCTGGTCTCTCACACGAGTTCAGGGGCCCAAGAACTTGGGTCATCTTACACTGCTTCCCGAGGCTGTTAGCAGGGAGCTGGAGAGGAAGTAGAGCAGCTGGGACTCAAACCGGTGCCCAAATGGGATGCTAGTGCTGCAGGTGCAGGTGTAACATGCTACATCACAATGCTAGACCCCCAGTATTGCTTTTTAAGAATCAAAATTAAGGGTGGACATGTAATCTAGTGTTTAAATAGGAATCGAGACCCACCTCTCCCCAAACAACTCACCAGTTGGAGTACCTGGGTTCCACACCTGCCTCCACCTTCCTGCTAACACAGACCCTGGGAGGCAGCTGTGATGGCTCAAGTGATTGGATTCTTGCCACCAGCCCTGGCCACTGTGGACATTTGGGAAGTGAACCTGCAGAAGGGAACTCTGTTGCTCAACTTTTTAAGAAAGTACTAGAAAAAGTCCAATATTAAACTACTTTAAAATCCAAGAAAAATTGCACTGATTGTAAGGCAGGATGTGGGGTAGTGGCTGGGTCAGACAGTTGGACCCATACCTTAAGTGGTCATTGTTGGCCCAGTCTCTTGGCATGGTGAGTTGTCACTGCCTACAATGTCAGATCAAGTCTCGGCTGCTCCACTTCTGATCCAGCTCCCTGCTAATGTGTGTGGGAAAGCGATGGAAGATGGCCCAAATGCTTGGGCCCCCACACCCACACGGGAGACCTGGCTGAAGCTTCCCAGGCTCCTGGCATTGGCCTGGTACAACCCTGGCTGTTGGAGCCAGTTGGGGGAATGAACCAGCAGATGGAAGCTCGCTCTAAATCTTGGAAATAAATGCAGTCACTTCCATGCTGTGATACAGGCAAACAGCTGGCATTCTTCAGCTACAGGTGTCTCACTCAGAAAATGGGGCTGTTAATACACAGTCCTTGGGAAGTGGAGATGGAGCAGTGAGTGGCAGGTGTCTGGTAAGGCGGTGCAGCCTTCACAGGGGCAGGTGTCTGGTAAGGTGGTGCAGCCTTCACAGGGGCAGCTGTCTGGGGAAACCTCAGACATGGTCCGATCTTCCTGTGTGGCTCTTTGTTCACATTTATTCACAGGTCTTGCAACATGCTTGAGAATCGATGAGCGCTGCAAAACCGAAAACAGTGTAAATTCACCCAGCCTTGCCCTGCAGATCAGGCAGCCCTGCAGGCTGGGGGAGGCCCCTAGGGGGCTGGCTGTCCTCTCCTGTCTTCCTGGCCTTGTCTTACCCTTAGCCGATGTCTGTGTGCCTCTTTGAGTCCTTTGGTGATACCAGCTCTAAAGAAGCAACCTCACCCTCACTCCTCACCCAGCCAGGCACTGTGCCTGCTCATCTGAGTCCTCTGTGTCCCAGGAGTGCTCTCTGAGAACCCTGGTCTCGGCCCCACAAGGGGCTTTTGGATCACGTTAAAGGCTGCTCTGAGCCTGTCTCACCCAAGGGCTTCCCTAAGCTGCAGGGATGTCAGCCGTGGCCTGGGCACTGAGGCAGCCGGGGTGTGGAATGTGGTGAGCTGGCATAGCTCGGTGCTTCTGAACTGGATGGGCGACCTATGATGTTTTTAGGGACTTGAGAAAGGCCTTTTTAATGACAGCTGTGCAAGGCCTCACTGCCTGTGAGCTGATTACCTGGAGCCCCCAGCCCTGGGTGTGGCTGCCTCACCTGCCACTGGCCTACTTGGCTCCATTACTCTTCTTCTCCCACGTTTCTCTGGATGAAGCTCTCTTCAGTCAGCCAACACAGTCCCCAGGGTGCGGGTCTACCTGGTGCAGGCCCACAAGTCCGTGTCTATTCCAGCCAGCAAAAAAAGCAAATACACTTTGCCCCTGCATTGAAATTTTACCTGGAAAAGTTTTCCCGTTTCAGTCTTTCATCTTTTATTAGGCTCCTCCTGCTCAGGCACAACAGAGTTTCCAGTTACCACCGGTCCTAATGATCCGCCCTCTGCCTGGAAAGAGTCTGAAACAGCGGCTCCGGTATACTAGCAGGGAGCTGGATCAGAAGATTCTCAGCCTGTTTCTCCCCTTACAACCCAGGCCCCCCCTCTGACACAGAGTCCCCATGAGCTGAGTCCAGAGTGGCCAAGCTCTCAGCTAGCAAACCTCCAGGGTCATTTCTTTATGTAAATGCATCATTCCTACATCCAAATGTCAGTCCCGGGGGGGCTCCAGGTCTATCTCTCACAGATAGAACCACAGACTGAAGCCCCAAGTGGACAGGGCTGGCCTAGCTCAGCTCCTGCCTCGCAGTCGAGCAACTTCTCAAGATGGGTGTTGCTGAGGGCTGCTGAAGCCCTTGTTGGAAGGAGGAGCATGTAGTTATGTCTGTTCACTCAGCAGAAGACTTGATTTGCAGAGGGCACATGAATTTAAAAAATTAGAAATTGGCCTCCCTTCACTCTCGAGGCTGAGAGACAGCTGTGGACAACTGCTGTCAATTCAGTTATGTGCTGCTTTGCTCCTGAGTTTGGTTTTTGCTCTGAATTTAATGTAACTCAAACAACTTCTGCGCTCATGTTCGTGGATGCTGAAACGCCCTCCGCAGACACTGATGGGTGTTGGGTCTTTTGGGAGGGCGGTGGCCAAAAAGGCAGAGGCTCCAGCTGCGAAGGCTTCTGCAGTGCTGCACCCCTGGGGAGGGTGGCTCTTTTTCCCATCTGCACAAGGGGCCCAGGACTGCACACTCCTTCCTGGACTGCAGCATAGGCATCACACGTGAACGTAAAAGCCTAGTTTGTGCTCAGAATGCAGGGCCAGAAATGGAGGGCTAGGAGAAGCCCCATCTCCAGATCCCACGTGGCACGTCACCAAGGCTGCTGGGGTGGCGAAGGGGAGGCTGGCACCGAGTCTACAGACCCAGCTGGCTCCAGGACATCACGTTGTTCAGTCTTTTGCTTATCTAATCAGATCTGTGTTCTTTACCCAGTGTTCACTCGGTTATCACACAACCTCTTTGCGACCCTGCTGAAGTTCCTTACCAGGCTTCCTATCCAGAGCTATCTGTATCCAAGCTCAGGACAGGGAGGGAGCAGCTCGCTCGGCTTCCATCTGCAGAACTGTCAGGAGGGTTTGGTGTATAGGTCTACCCATCAGTGTACCTCAAGGGTAAGCAGTGGTTGCATGGTCCTGAGAGGACAGGGACTAGGACAACCTGATCTGTGAAGTCACATTTCACCCCATCCTGGCTCGAGGGCCACCCCCTCCCCCCTTAGCAACAAGCACCATAGCTGGCCTGGCTGCAGGACTGCTGGCGGCCCATCCTGTTCCCCTCTCAGCTGTGCAGTAACTCATCTACTGTTCCTTGGGGTAAGGGAGCAAGCAGGCTCTCACCCGAACACCTAACCTGGGAGTATGGGAAGAGCTGTGGGATGAGGTGTGGCCAAGTGTTTAGTGAGAAACCAAGCGGACATCTCGTTGCAGGTCTTGGCTTACCCTTCCAGGTTACAGCACGATGTAGATCTGTGGATATTTTGGACTTCAAGACAGCTCAGCCTTACACCTGCTGCCCTGAGGCTGCTGGAAGGAAATGGCCCCAGGGAACTCCTGGGAAGAAAGCCCCATGAATCAAGGCTCCCAGAAGTATTTGCCATTCTACAAGTTCAGCCACTGAGCTCCATCCTGGAGCTCCTGCTACCTCCTCATCCATGTTTTAAAAAGTAAAACCACCTATAACCACTCAGTCAACTCACCCCTGGCTCCACTAAGTCCTGCTTCAGTCCTCACAGCCCTGTGAGAGGGCAGGCAGGGAGGCCAGACAGCTGGGTCTTCATTCTGCTAGGAGAATGAAATGGCATCGTCAGGCTGGCAGTTCATACATGCAGTGGGGGGGTCCAGGGCACTGCAGTTCACATCTGCCTAAGTCCCCCCCGTCCTGTGTGTGGGAGGGGAGGGCCATGGTCAGCTAACCGCCTGTACACAGTAACCAGTGCTTCCTTCCCAGACAAGACCACAAGAGGTCAACAGTATTTCTGAAGATTTCATTGTTAGAATTCTATTTTGATGAGAGTGATCTCATTGAGCTATTTTGGAATAGAAACGTGGCCAGGTGCCTTGCCTCCCTCAGTGGTTTCACGTGGCTTTCAAAGGGAGTGCTGACTTTTGGGAAAATGGGTGAAAAAGTCCAGGCCAGCAATGCCACCACTCAAAGTCCAGATGAGGGATCAGTCAATACAACGTGCCTGAAAGGCAACTCCTGAGCACATTCCTCTGGTAGACATTAACTTATTAAACTGATCCTGATTACAAATACAAACTTTGCCCCCATCTCATCTGGCAACCACGGAGGAGGCAGACATCAGTCTATAAAAGAAAGTGGGAGCTGTCCGTGGCTCTCAGGCTCCGACATCATCCCTCTAAGATGTGGCACCTCAAACTCTTTGCAGTGCTCATGATCTGCCTATTGCTGTTGGGCCAGGTAAGGAGGGTTCTGGGAGTGGCAGTGTGGAAATGGCAATGGCAGTGGCTCCTCTGCCTCGAGTGTCCTTGGCAATGACCATTTTTCCAAGGTGTGCAGCAAGGTGTCACCTCTCCCCTTAAGGGATAAATCTGCTTTCGCTCTACAGGTAGATGGCTCCCCAGTACCAGAGCTGAGCTCAGCAAAGAGGCGGCCACGGAGAATGACCCCGTTTTGGAGAGGGGTCTCCCTCAGGCCCATTGGAGCCTCGTGTCGGGACAATGCTGAGTGTGTCACAAGGCTATGCAGGTACTCCACGAGCCTGGAGCTGGGAAAGAGTGCCTGGGAGGGCTGGGGTTAGGAAGTGAGCCCTGGGAAAGGGTGAGGCCTCCCATCTCCCATCTTCCCTAAGACTTGATCGATGGAGGCGCAGCAGAGGTGGCTCTGGACGCTCCTAGACCCGATGTCTTAAGCTGTTTTCCTTTCCCCTAGAAAAAGACGCTGCTCCCTGAGTGTGGCCCAGGAATGATGTCCAGTCTAGGGGAAGAGAGGACAGCAGTCACCTCTGACAATGCTCCGTTCTATGGAATGTTGACTATGTTCTGGCTGGAGACATCCAAGTGAAGCAACCTTGTGTTTTTAATATTTAAAGACAGATGCTTTAAATTGGTCTCCATTTCTTCTTAGAATGCTGACATATGGATGAACATAACCTTTACAATTTAGAGTTTATTTTTTTATGGATACTATTAAATGTCTCATCGAAACTTTGGCAGTTGGAGTCCAAGCTTCTGAGGGGATTCCATGTGTCTACTACAGCAAAACCCCAGCATCCATACAGTGTGGTGAGAGGTAACATTTTTTCAAAAATCTCATAAAGAACACAATGGCAGTTTAAAGGCAAAAACCTAGCAATAGCTACTTAGTCACCTGTGGCAAGTCCACACGCTGTGGCCCTTCGCTCCACATGCAGAACTTGGGTGGGGGGGCGTGGGTGTCACAAATGGGCAGGATTGGGCCCAGCTTTCTTCTTGACTGCATGAACATGAGGAGGAACTGGCAGAAACAACTGGTTTCATAACATCACAGAAGCTCAAACCACCAAGAACACCTAAAGGACTCGGGGTTCCTGTTGGGGCAGGGTGAATTTTGGTCTGTGCACAAGGACCCACAGCTGGCATGTTCAGAATTTCTGTAGTCAGAAAGTGAGACTGGGAGGACCAGATCCATGGAGACCAGTAGTATCAGACCCTAAAAGGCAAAACAGGAACTGCACGAAAGGGCAGAGTATGAGCTGAGAAAGAGCACAGTGTACACAGACTTTAATACAGAAAATCTATTTGATATTTATTAAACTTAGTTTCTCCAGCTATGGTTTGGCATTATACAAAGCATCTTAATGACACAGTAGAGTTAAAAAGATCTTTACAAATTGAAATGTGATACCCTTGTCTCCAAATATTTTAATTGCCATAAATTTGTTTAAAAATACACATTAAACGCATGTTTGACACTCTAAACTTTCTATAATCTCAATACCACAAAATACATATAATATACTATACAGATGTGGAAAAATCTAGTTAGTATATAATACTTTGCTCACCATTAACAGCTTTCTTATGTGAAATGCACATACTGACTTAGAAATCCTAGCTTTTGAACCCCAAAGTACCTCTGAAATTTTAATGTATTGCAACAAATAAAAAACACAGTATATAATTGAAATTTTGGTTGAAAATGTCAGATACCTAGGTATTTGAGATAAAAGAAATGTAGAACAAACATCTGGGTCATGTACAAAACAAAGGCGTCCTCCCAGTCACTAACAGTACCTTTCCGCTGAGTCAACAGGCTTTAAACTTATCAACAGTATCATCTCCCCTTAAAACCCTCCCCAAATATCAAACCGTTATTTACCAAATAGTTTTAATTTCAAATAAAAGGACTTTTCAATAAATATATAAGCATTTCCATCCTCCATATACAAAGTTTCTTAAAACCACTCAAAACGGAGGCTAGACAGAAAGTTTCATTTTCATAACTGTGCTTACCAACCCCGTATTTGGCCCCCAAAGGTGGTGCCTTTCCAGGTACTGCCAACTGGGCCAGTTTTGTTGGTGAGCCCTACCCTCCCACCCCAATCCCAGTACTGTTGAATGCTCATGTCAGTGATTTGCCAGGTGCGTGCAAAAAGTTGTAAAATGGGGACACTTCTTAAACAGCAACAACAAACTCAACAGTATAGGTAACCACGGCACTGATTTGAAAGGCAGTATTTTCAAAAAGCTATTCTCCAGAGAGGAACACAGAAAACCCCAATGATTAAAAGCTGAAAAGAAACCTCACATAGAAGCTGTAAGAGATCAAACTGAGTATTACTAGAACTTCTAGATGGGAGCTTTTCTATGCTCGTTCAGGAAGCTTTTTAAGAACGGCAATTTATACTCAGCTGGACAATGGTGGCATAGAGAGGCAATGCTGACATTCCTGGACTCAGCTTCCTTACAAGGACACTTGAGGCTACCAGTTTTAGGCTGCTTATTAGGATTTATACGACTCAGTTTAGACAACCAGATACCTTATCTTGTGACCAAATTCCACTAAAAGAAGACAATTAGCCACTTCTCCCATTCCCTTTTCTGCAGACAGCACATTTTTTTCATCTGTTTACAATCAATCACAGGTTCACGTGAATAGGAACTAAAGACCAGTTTCCACTCTACCAAGTAATAACTTTCTTCCCGTCGTTTGCTTGGTTTTAGGGTCTAGGTCTAAATGGAATTTCTTCATTTGTGGGTATGTGAAAGATACTCTCACAAACATGACCAATTTGGCTTTTGTCCCTACACCTTCCAAGCCATTCAATGGTTAGCTCTTTTCTATTGATATTACTGAATAGCAACCTTAAATATGAAGTATTATTACTGGAAAAAATCTGCCTCTTCCACACACAATGATACACAAAGCTGAAATGAAATCTGTGTTCCTTTCAATCTGGGAGTATGAGTTATAGGAGTCTATATGGATCTGAAATACTCTGGCTCCCCAAGTTACTTAGGTTTTTTGTAAAACCTAAGGCATCACAATCTGTCTAGAACACCCAGAATATGTCACCCCCAGGAGATGTTCCTGGGACCAGACACAATCTCCTATAAATCAAAAGCACAATGAAGCCAGTTTGTTCAATTAGCGACTGGAAAATTAAAATTCTTCCCCCCCACCCCATAAGAGCCCTGTTACACTACAGAAGGGCTCAAATATATTTTAAAAGTTAATTTACTACAAATCATAGTAATTAAGCTTTAACAATCTAAAGGAATACACATTGCACCCTTGAACATTAATATTCAAGGTGTCAACAAGAAAGTGTCTTAGATCAATTTAATAAATAATGTGGAAATAGCTGCACTAAGCTAAAATACTAAACACACACATTTTGACGAACTAATTTCATGTTTTCATACATACATACATACATATATATAAAGTGTGTATGTGTACATAATTTTAAGATCCAAAGTTGCAGACCCTCATACCCGGAAGAGTGCACAGCGTACTCTCCTCCACACAACTAAGCATGTCTGAACCTCCCCCGCGTCCTGGCCTCTGCAGCCAGTACTTTCATTCATTACAGGTGCCTTTCGTAGGCTCTTGCTTCACTGCAAGTTCATGTACCAAAGTTCCTGTCATTAAATACAAAATGATGTCTTCCGAGCTAGCTGATTAAACCTTTAATGAAAAAAAAACAAACAATTAAAACAAAAACAGTGAATCTAATAAAGCCACAAGTATGTCACTCAAAGTACAGCCCAGATGCCTGGGGAGTCACCAGTGCGAGAGCTCCCGAGAAGGACAGGCGTGCGTGGGCAGGCGCACACATTACCCTAAGCTGCTTTGATACTGGAGAATTTAATCAGTGGTGGACAATCTTCTCCACCCTTCAGCAACTATAGCTGTGAATTTATCTGAAGGATTCACTGCTTAAAAAGTCAATTCGTGGCTCCTTGCCCAGAAAAAGGTGACAATGAGGCAAGGAATGGGCTGGATGCCGTCTAGACTAGAGCCTGGGCTGGGCTGTGGAAGCCTGAATCATCTGGTAGTGCTCCCCACAGCTCAGTCAGCTCCGGCAAGGCTACCGTGACAACTTCATCCCCCACGGTTCGCTGGTTGCCTGTAAAGAGTCCAGCTGTGTGGCCTGCTGCCTCCTGGCAAATAAGTGTGGTCTCAAAAGAGCAGTCAACAGAATACCTTTTGAAATAGTTGCTATTTCTATAATTTCTACGTATTAAGCCTAGGTTTCAGACTAAGTAAGTTTTTAGCCACTTGTCAAAATTTAATTTTAGATGGTGAGGAGACCCTGAGGACACCTACTGAGGAGGGAGGAATGGGCACCTGTCAAGGAGTCCGAAGTATGTGCCGGAGCAGATGACGACACAGAATGCTGGAAACGACAGACATGGGAGACAGGGAGTGGCATTTCCACAGACTACGACAGTGAAGACCCCACTGTTTAGGATGGGATTCTGATGCATTGCCCATTTCCACCTGCTGGGAAATACCCTCCACAATGAAAAGTTTGCAAATTCATTTTCAAAGAATTGTTTTAAAGAGAAAATATCACGGAGCAGCACCATAAGACACGCAGGAAACTCGGCTTTCAGAAAATATCAGTGGGACACGAGAAGTGCTCTGGCTGCCTTTCAGGACACAGAAGAGACTAGAACATACTGGGAACTCAGAGGTGCCCTGGGGGCTGCTGCTGCTCAAAGTCGAAAAGCCCAGACGATATTGATTCCACTTCTTAGACATCACAGCAGATTACAGTCAAGTCAGAGAAATCAGAGGGCAGGGCATATGTCTAACTTGATTAACAAGTTATTTCTCACTAAATAACTATTATGATCACTGAGAAGTTCTCCTCTTAAGGAAAACTGTTTCAAGAACACACTGAAGTTACATCAGAAAGATTGAAGAGGCAATTTCTCCAAGGGAAAAAAGTTAAATCCAACATAATTTATAGATTGCAATTGTCAATGATATATAAAAAATAACTTGAGGTACAAAACAGGTAAGAACAGGCCACAGGACAATGAAATTTCACTAGTTTCAGAAAGAAGTGTAAAAGAGACTCAAACACACACAAAAAGATTCACTGCACCATTAAACTTTGAGATTTTCCATCCTGTCTTTTCCCTTTCCAATTTCAAGCCTTAGCAATCATCTATACTTAGTAGGGCAACCTTTTCTTCTGATTGGATGGATTCATTTTTGGAATGGGAAGAAGGACAAACTATTTTTTGAAGCAACATTACCCAACTGGTTAGACTACGTCATTAGTACCAAAGCATTGGTTTTTTTGAAAAGACTGATGTGGCCCTAAGGGAAAATTTGAAAGGAAAAAGAATTTAACATTACTACAGAAGACCAACCACGTATGGATGATCTGCTTCTAGTGTAAAACTTCATCTGTAAACAATCTGTAGAGTTTTCATTTAAAGGTAAGATTTAAGGCACACTAGAGAAGATATGGGCACTAAAAACAAAATACGGAGCGTCCAGCTTTCACATGTGACTTCTCCATGTCCTTCGCAGGGAAAGGTACTTTGATATACAACTCTCACGGGGCTGGTTTCTTAAGCTCTGCCCCAGGTCCCCTCCCCTTCCCAAGAGAGCTCATCATGAACCAAGTTAGGTACATTTCTAGTGTGAAATTTCTGATCCCATCAGAAACATACATCATTGATGAGGGCCTTCATAACACAAAGGGAGCAAATACAAGATCCGTTTAAAAATTGAGAAAAATTCATCATCTCCACATTAGGTATTAGAACTGTAAGCTGTATAGCAAAGCACACACACCAAAGCTCCAGCCCATCTCCACATCAGTCGCTGCACAAGCTCTTCTCAGAGCAGTGTAATCTACTATGGGAAAAAGTAATCTGAAAAGAGATTTTAACCTTCAAATATTATCAATTCAAGAGACACAGGCAACAACCCTCAGGAGCTGGATCTTTTTTTTTTTCAATAGTAACTTATTCTACTTCAATTAAGTGTCAAAGGATTAGCAACAAAAAAGAATATACGGTTTTAACAAAATCCATACAGTTCAAGATTGTCCTTTTATGAAACTGTTCAAAATGATATATTTCTCCTGGAAAGTTGCCTTTTCTCTTCTGTAATGCATTAAATGCAAATCATAGTCACCTTGTGATTGCTATAGTGTTATAAACACACATTCACAGTTTCTGAAATAATGCACACCAAATCAGACACATTTCATTTCACATCCACGTACAATGACATCTCTCATATTTAAGTGATTTTTCATGTGTAGAATATCCTTAATATTAAGCATCAATTCTACAATAATAAAATTGTAGTTAAGATCTGAAACAGTATCAGGTAGTAGGTACAGAAAGAACAGGTTCATATTTTAGATGAACCAACTCTTACTCTTAGAAGAGCTACCACAAAAAGACATTATTAGGTAACAAACCTCCCCAAAGTATATAAATAAAAATGCCTACGTTAAATTTATGCTAAATATTCAACAGAGTAAATTTATAGGCAGAAATAGCTAAGTTTTAAACAAGCCCCAGTCTGGGAACTTAAAAAATTAAAATAAATAAAATTTCATTGCATTAGTTATGAATCACAACTGGAATTCCAATCTTATTATAGATCACTAAAACCATCTTATAAGTGTGCTGCAGATTTAAAAGCATTTAAATAACTTTTCACATTGGGAATATTGAAAGGGTCAACTGACATGATGGTTTGAGTTATAAAAAACAACACATGAACCAAGGAGGAGAAAACCATTCCCCATTCTTAGTGTCAACTAAGTGGCGTGTTATGGCAGTTTTCCTTCGTGATGTGACACAGTGTTGTGGAGAAAATCAGAGGCAACAAGAATACGTTCAGTTCAAGACATCAACTTGGTATCCTGGCGAAGCCAGTGCAGTCCCTGCCGGGTATAACGAACCAGATCTGTCATGATGCTTGCATTAAAGATGAGCGGGCCCATTACTTTATCCAGTTCAGCAAAGAATTCTAGAAACAAAGATATTTATTAAATAATGTACACCCTTTCAAATCACTGCTTTAAAATTTTGTATCTAGACCATAAAAGAGCATTTACATCAAGTCAAAAATATTACTCCCTACACTAAAATATTACTGTTTATCTTTTAGAGCAAAGCACCCCCTAGTCTCTCTAGTTATATTTGTTTCCTAATAATACAACATTTTCAACAGGATGCATGGTCAGGAATTAAATGTTATACATACAAAAAGAATTCTGTTTACAGAAATTATAAATTGCTATTATACAGTAAACATCATTAAATGGAGACCTAGTGTTACAACATATCATGTGATTACTTCAAAATATTGTCTGTTTTATATGAAAAGCAAATGGCAGAAAAAAGGAAGATTACTTTTACCTGTTTCCCATAACAGCCCATGTGAGGTTAGATACTTAATGACAGCCTGTATCCAACCTTTCTGCTCTGTTTGTCATGCATCACTGATAAATTAAATGTCATATTTTCAGATTTTTTTTTAATTAAAGTGATTGAAATGAGGATTCTTCCTATATGAACAAATACAGGCTGTAAGCAAGCAACGAAGGGGTGGTATGGAGGAAAGGAAGGAGCACAGTATCCTAAGGTTGGAGCCCAGTGTAACCTCTCCTGTTATTCAAACAAGGCAAGAAGTACCTAAACACTTGAGAGGACTCTCCTTAACAGAATTTGAGTTAATAAACAAAGAAGAAATTTCAGAATAGAAAACTCTTGATGAATTTTCTATTTCTTAGCAGAATAATGGATCTAGGCAATGACTGTCAATGAATGCTACAAGTTTCAGTTAGAGTTTAATAGGGAATCTGACATCAAAATGGTCAGGGTGATACCACCAGAATGAACCCACTGACCAATTATTACATGCTTCCAAACATGATGCAGCAGGAAATCTAGAGCACCGTGCATGATACATGCTCACCCACAACGCTGAACTTTAACCTATCAAGTATCGAGATGAAGCCACTGTATAAAGAAAATGAGTGGGCAGAACAAGTTATGCGGCATCAGGAAGAAGGCATTAGTGAAATACAGAATATTACACATTCTACGGCTTCTCCTCAACAGCAACAGCACGGCCAAAAACATCGAGGAGGGGGAGGGACTAAAGAGTCTATCAGGGAAATGTAACGTGCAGACATGGCTTGGAATCTGTGTGAAATTAAACTGATTTTTCAACAGGCCTACTTGTCACAACATGATAAAGTGTGATAGGAGACTAGAGACGAGTTGGTGTAAGGTAGCTGTGGCAAACCTCAGCAGCTGTAATGAAGGTGTGGTGGGCATGGTTTTGGAAAGCCCTTAGCACTACCAAAGTATTTTCAGGTAATATGTCATTGTGTCTTGTATCCACTCTAAAATACTTCTGGGGGTAGGAAACGTTATGAGATAGAGAAAGTGAGGGAAGAAAACTGGCAAAACGCTGTGTTGTTGAAGACAGAGCTGAATGAGAGGAGCATGTGGTTCATTAAACCTTTCCCCTTCCTCAGTCAGCATTTCAAATTGCCATACAACAAATAAAGAAGAAGAAAGCAGAGGCTAGAGGACCAGCATGGGAGAACGGAGAGCAGGCTGACTGGGGAGGATTTCAGCTCCATAACCTCTCCTGGGCACTACCAACAGCATTCTAACTTTCAGAAGCAAATCAGGTTTTTAAAAACCTAACTTTATGTTAAATACTGGCATCTGTCTTCTACCTTTCTCTCTCCGTTATTCCTAGTTATCTGCGTCTGATGGTCTGTCAGTACTCTAAGTATGTAGATGCGCACTGTGACAACATCAACTGGTGCACTCCTTCAGTGATTCTCTGTAAACGATCTACCTGAGTTGATGCTAGTACAAAAGCACTTTCTTAAGTATCTCAGGTGTAAAAGACATCTGGATGTAATCCTATACCTCGAACCAAATTTACTGGCAATCATCCCAAAACAGGACATGTTTTATGACTTTTATGGTAAGGGCTGCAATTAAATGTGCCAGAATACAGGCATATTTGTTTGTCTTAGACCAAGAACCAGTTTACTTTAGTTTGAGTCGTTAGTTTCTTCCTATCTTTTTATTTATTTATTTATTTTTATTTATTTATTTTTGACAGGGAGAGTGGACAGTGAGAGAGAGAGACAGAGAGAAAGGTCTTCCTTTGCCGTTGGTTTACCCCGCAATGGCCACCGTGGCAGGCTTGCTGTGGCTGGCACACCACGCTGATCTGAAGCCAGGAGCCGGGTACTTCCTCCTGGTCTCCCATGCGGGTGTAGGGCCCAAGCACTTGGGCCATCCTCCACTGCACTCCCGGGCCACAGCAGAGAGCTGGACTGGAAGAGGAGCAACCGGGACAGAATCCAGCGCCCCGACTGGGACTAGAACCCGGGGTGCCAGTGCCACAGGCAGAGGATTAGCCCATTGAGCCGTGGCGCCGGCTGTCATTAGTTTCATGACATATATTTTTGAACAAATTCAGTTACATTTAATACGATTACTAGCAAACTGATTATACTGTTAGCTCTAAACCAGATAACAAACTAAATACAGAACAGCCACTTGTTTAACTACATTGTAACAGTTTCTTTCAACAATTCCATCCTTCAAAGTTTATCCAGAGACCTATCTACCTTTTTGCTCTTTGGAAAGCTGTTCAGCTTGGTCCCAGATTTCGGTGGCATAGAGGAAGTTGGATGTAACCTGAACATAGATGGCTGCCATCTGGTGGATCTTCTGTGAAATGGTCACTGATGAGCCACTTGCTGAAGCACTACTGGCCCCAGAAGAGTAATTTCCTGAATTGCCTGGTGACAGCTTTGGAGAAACTGGGGAAGGCATCCCAACAGCTTTGCTACACACAGAAAAACAGGAAGCATGTTCAGACAGACATGGTAAACATTATAATCAACGTATACTGGAATCCTTCTACACCATGGTTTTGGAAATTTAATGATTCTTTTAACTAGAAGGCTTTTCAGAGAAGTACCATTTTTTCTAAATAAGAACTAAACGCCACAGTGAATTATAATATTCTCTAGATCCTTTATTACAATGAGTAACAACAGAAGAATAGATGGCAGGACTGAAGAACTCATACACCTTATTGGCAGCAGTTCAGTGGCTTAGAAGCCACTCCTCCTCACTCTGGCCCAGCACACATCTCCCATCCAGTAAGACACGTAATTACCTCTTTTTCAAATTGTTCTGAACCTCATAATTGCTGGCATTTTTCAAAAGTGATCAAGCGGCACACCTTTTTAATCAACTACAATCATCTTAAAATTCCTATCAATTAAATACTTTTTAGGAAACACATACATTGAAATCTTTCATGTTTACTGAAAGAGTGCTCAATCTACAGAAATGCCAAACACTACGGTCACACACTGAAAAAGGAAAATCAAACAAAAGCTGGGGTAAAAAGCTGTTTGTTTACACTTTTACCTGCACTTTTAGCGTGATAAACTTGGCCGGACAGAGACAGAATGTCCCTTCATGCAAGTATAGTAACTGAACACATAAAACTACAAAATAAAAAAAGATTTCATTTGATTCTCCTCCTTTTGGGTGAGGGAGTGATGTAGGGTTGGAGGACAAGCCACAATCACGCCACTTTCATTAAATTCTGGCAATGCCAAGACTTGAGTGAAGCTAAGTACACTGTACACACTCAAGTTGCTGGAAATCAAATGCCAGAAGAGTGGAGGTGCTGTTAAAAAAGCAAGATTGCTGCACGTAAAAATGTTCCATCTCCAACTTTTCTAGGATTACATTCATTTATATCTTTACATTTATACAAAAGAGGAAAAAAGTTTTTAAAAATACTTCATTAAAAATGGGTTTTATTTTTTAAATAGTCACCTTTCCATTTTTGGGAACTGGACCCTACCCATTCCACCTTTATATTATAAATAAATAAACCTGTCACAAATAATATTTTATATAATAAAATTTTACCTACCTTCCCAAGCCAGGGGATGGTGCTTGAGAATTATTATAAGAATTCTGTGGAAAAATAAAATGTACTTGAAAAAAACCCTTTTACATAAGAAGTACTAAATATACTGAAAAGTACTGAGCCAGAGCTGATGTTAAGCTTTATACATTTAAGACACCAAAACATGTATGCATGGGTGTTTATGAACATACAACAGAAAGAAGTTACTAAGTGAGAGATGGAATCTGCAATAATTTACAGAAGGCAAGGGGCCAATGAATCACATTCAGAAAGATAAAGGGGAGAAGTAAGGGCAGAGAGCTGAATACAAAGAGACAACGTACATGACCCATAAAAGTTACCTACAGCAAAGGTAGGCACAAGCAAGGAACAAGATTATGAGGGCCTAAGAAGCAGGGCAAGGAGTTTAAACTGGATGCGGCAGGCACTGCTAAGCTACTGCTGCTCTGAAAAACCACAGAAGATGTTTTAGGAAGCTAAGACAACAGTTTAAAGAAGGACAGTTGAGTAAACAAAGGATGACTAATGAAGTGTAGATGTGGCAGCTACATTTGCCTGCACTGAGCCATACGTGCATTTAAATACATTCCGAGAAACCTCAAACTTGTCTGAAAGTTCTCTAACAGTAGCTCCTGGCCTGCTATTTTACCTAAACACAACAGTACTTGTGGCAACGGGAGCCAATAACTTCTGTCTCCTAGGCACTGGACTGACACACTTACCTTGAGGTGCTCTGTCAGTGTCTTTGAGTACTTCAGAGCATTCTCCTTCTTCAGCTTGAATAGCCTCAGGTACAGCAAAGACTGGCATCGCAGGCTGGCAAATGAAAAAGGGCAGTTTGCTTATTACTAGGACAGCAGACTCTGGCCACGTCTGCACAGACTATCTTTGCATTTTGCAAGAGTACAACACTGGCTTTTGACAGCAGACCCAGGTATAATGTGAACAACAACATCAACCTTTAAGCAAAACCAAAAAATGTGCTACACTTATAGTACATACCCTAGAGTAGGGGAAGATGGCTAAGAAACCTAGGACTAGGGACTGGCACTGTGGTGTAGTGGGTAAAGCTGCTGCCTGAAGTGCCAGCATCCCATAAGGGTACTGGTTCGAGTCCCGGATGTTCCACTTCCTATCCAGCTCTCTACTATGGCCAGGGAAAGCTGTAGAAGATGGTCCAAGTCCTTGGGCTCCTGCACCCATGTGGTAGACCCAGAAGAAGCTCCTGCCTCCTGGCTTTGGATTCACCCACTTCCGGCTGTTATGGCCATTTGGGGAATGAATCAGCAGATGGAAGACTTCTTTCTCTCTCTCTGCTTCTGCCTGTGTGTAACTCTGCCTTTCATATAAATAAATAAATCTTTTTTTTTTTTAATTTTTTTTGACAGGCAGAGTGGACAGTGAGAGAGAGATACAGAGAGAAAGGTCTTTCTTTGCTGTTGGTTCACCCTCCAATGGCCACAGTGGCCGGCACGCTGTGGCTGGCGCATCGCACTGATCCGATGGCAGGAGCCAGGTGCTTCTCCTGGTCTCCCATGCGGGTGCAGGGCCGAAGCACTTGGGCCATCCTCCACTGCACTCCCGGTGTGCCGGCGCCGCAGGCGGAGGATTAGCCTATTGAGCCACGGCACCGGCCAATAAACAAATCTTTAAAAAAAAAAAAAGAAAAGAAAAGAAACCTAGGACTAGTCCCTATTATTTGTTGACATTCAAACTCAAAACCCACAGGACACAAATATGTCCTAGTGATGTATGCATTAAAAACAAAACTGCTAAGGGGCAGAATCTCCAAATCAAATTATAAACAATCTGAATAAAAAAAAAAAAACTAGGAAATTCAAGTATCACCTTACAACTCTGATGGAACATATAAATCTTAACACAGCTTAGGAAGATGCTGTGAGATCGCCCCTCTTCCCTACCCAGCCACGGCCACTTCTCACCGCTCTTCTTGTTCTGTCTCCTACTTTATTCCTTTCCACCATCCATGTTGTTCCTTTCGCCTGGAGTAGGTCTCCCTGTCCCTAATTTTTTTCTTTTTAAAAAATTATTTACTTGAGAGGACTGGAGAGAGAAAGAGAGGAACAGACAGACAGAACGACTGACTCTGCTGGTGCACTCTCCAAACACTCACAATGGCAGCAGGAGTAAGCGAGGTAGGAGATGACTCAGAAACTAGAGAGCTGGAAATTCAATCCGGGTCTCTCCTGTGAGTGGCAGGAATATAATTACTTGAGTCATCATCACTACATCCCAGATGTGCAACAGGAGCTGTAATCAGGAGCCAGAGCTGTAGTCGAGAATTGAACCCAGCTTCTCTGATGTAGGATGTGGGTGTCCTAACCATTAACCTAAGTGCCTGCTCCCACCCTCTGTTCTTTTTTTTAATTTTTATTTATTTATTAATTTACTTACTTATTTATTTATTTTTGACAGGCAGAGTGGACAGTGAGAGAGAGAGAGACAGAGAGAAAGGTCTTCCTTTTTGCCGTTGGTTCACCCTCCAATGGCCACCCCGGCCGGCGCGCTGCGGCCGCCGTGCCGCACTGATCTGATGGCAGGAGCCAGGTACTTCTCCTGGTCTCCCATGGGGTGCAGGGCCCAAGTACTTGGGCCATCCTCCACTGCACTCCCTGGCCACAGCAGAGAGCTGGCCTGGAAGAGGGGCAACCGGGACAGAATCCAGCGCCCCAACCGGGACTAGAACCCGGTGTGCCAGCGCCACAAGGCGAAGGATTAGCCTAGTGAGCCGCGGCACCGGCCCCACCCTCTGTTCTTATACTCAGGGTTATATATTTTTTCCTGTCAAGGGACTTAGTTCACATAATTTCTGTCTCCTCACACCATACTATAAATTCCATGACAAACAGGACTGTGTCTGTTTTATTCACAGTTGTATTCCCACTGTTAAACACAAGGACAGGTAAAGAAAATGTCTATTAACAAAACTAACTCACAAAATCTCCCTGGGACAAAAAAACTTACATTCTGTATTCTGGGCAGGCTAGGTACTTGCTCCCTAAGGAAAGATATGCATGTGAAGGGGAGAGAAGAGGGCACCGAAAGAAGGGTCCTGGGGGCTGTGGGGAAGCAGTGTGCATTTGGCTTGGTGAGGACGCCACCTGAAACATCCACATCCCATATCCAAGTGTCTGAGTTTGACTCTTGGCTCCACTTCTCATCCCAGTTTCCTGCTAATGCACACGTTGGAAAATAGTGGTGATAGCTCAAACATTTGGGTCTGTATCACCCACATGGGAGACTGAACCGAGTTACTCCCTGCCAGCCTTTGCTTGGCCCAACCTCAGCTGTTGCAGGCATTTGGAGAGTGAGCCAGTAGATGGAACACCTTTCTAACTCTGTACTTTCCAAAACAAAAAAAAATCACAAAAGCCAGAAGACTCTGGAAAAGTGACCGTTTAAGGTCATAGAGGGGGCCAGTGCTGTGGCAGAGTGGGTTAAAACCCCCACCTGCAGGGCCAGCATCCCATATGGGCACCGGTTCTAGTCTGGCTGCTCCACTTCCAATCCACTCCCTGCAAATGTGCCTGGGAAAGCAGCAGAGGATGGCTCAAGTCCTTGGGCCCCTGCACTCACGTGGGAGACCCAGAAGAAGCTCCTAATTCCTGGCTTCAGATCGGCTCAGCTCCAGGTGTTGCAGCCATTTGGGGAATGAATTAGCAGATGGAAGACCTCTCTCTCTCTCTGCTACCTCTCTCTATAACTCTTTCAAAAAATAAAATAAATCTTGAAAGAAAAAAACAGATAATAGAGGATGGGGCCGGCACTGTGGCACAGTAGATTAAGCCTCCGCCTATAGCACGACATCCCTATGACAGCTGGTTCATATCCTGGCTGCCTTCTTCCAATCCAGCTCTCTACTATTGCCTGGGAAAGCAGCAGAGGATGGCCCAACCCTGTACCCGAGTGGGAGGTCCAGAGGAAGCTTCTGGCTCCTGGCTTCGAGTGGACTAGCTCTGCTCTGGACATTTAGGGAGTGAACCAGTGGATGCAAGACTTTTCTCTCTGTCACTCTCTCTCTCTGTAACTCTGTCAAATAAATATAATCTTTAAAAAAAAAAAAAAGATAATGGAGGGTTCTAATATCAGCCGCACCCTACCAAGGCTTTCATTAAGAGGGCAATGGATCAGAGATTGACAACAACTAAAATCTTTCCGTAAGAATTTAGAGTTATTTCCTACCCATCCATCAAGAACAGAATTATGCCAGGGTTACAGAAGGCTGACTCCAGGGTAACACTGGGAGGAGCACACACAGTTGATTAAGAAACCGCCTGTCATCAGCAGAAGCAGAATCCACAACACTCACCAGAGCACCGTGAGTCTCTTATCTGCAGCTGTGGCGTCTGGTGCTAAGTAACTCTTCAGCTTCATAGTGTACCTGTGAGTCACAAATAACAAATGACAAGCTCAATGTAAGTCTCTATCTGGATCTCACGATTTCTGTTGTCCTCCAAGCATAAGAATCAAACCTAAGCATAGGCAAAACAACAACAAAAAACAGAAAAAAAAAAACAACCCCACTGAATGATCTAGTTCTCCTCATCCAAGGAAAATAAAGGGTTAAGCATCCCCTTCAGTTCACTGCATATAGAGATTGGAGCCTCTGCCTAGACAGACCAAAAATGTGACTGCCCAGGATATGACAAGTTCTCCCACTTACTTGATGAGCTCCACTGTCTCTGAATACATGGGGAATGGGGATTTAGATTCCTGAGCATTTTTCTCCAAAGCGTTCCCACATTCAATGAAAGATACCACAGCATCAAGATAGTACACAGCTTTCTCAAACCTATCAGACTGAAGAAAGAAGAATAAAAATAGTGAGCAGTGATCTACCATTATTAAAAACAAGAAATGAGGTGAAGTTAGTATGATTAAAGACAAAACGTGAGGAGAAAATTTACATACCAATGCATCTGCATTGTGCTTTAACTTTTTTGCTTCTTGTAAATAATGGTCTGCGGAGTAACTTCTGCAATGGAAATTTTCATTTTAAGTGACATGATAAGATAATAATATTAGTTTTCTTGTCCGCAAGTAAAGAAAAGTGAGCTGCTACTACATGCTCAGTTCAATTCTTTTCTCACGAATGTTTCTATCAGGTTAACAGCATGAGTCGTATTCACCAACTCAAAGTAAATCAAACTATTTAGTTCAATACTAATTTGCCCAAGTTGCTTGAAAGAATAGGAGTAATTAAGATGCTGGCTAGCAGAAACAACCTTTTACCAAAATGGGAAAAAAGAACACTGCTCTTCTTTGTGTAAGAAAATCCCTACCTTAAACAGTGACATCAGCAGCAATAAGGTTTTTCTGGAAGGCACATCATTTACCTTGTTTATCAAATCACAGAAGTAAAGTCAATGAAGCAGTATGTGGCCTAGTGGGTACCTTTCAAACTCAAGCCTAAATATTCTATGGCTCACATACAAATATAAATCCTTCTAACTGCAGACAGAAACTAAAATGAGCTTCTGACAGGAATAATTTCTTTAGGGCATAAAAGAATCAAAAAAAACTCACCTGTCATCAAAGGCGAGCTTTGTTCTACGAGGCTTAGAAGCATCAGGAGTCGGTGTAGATGGAGGACAATTAGAGGTGCTATTTGGAGCCTTTTCCTGACGAACAAAATATATAACCACATTGAAAACTATGAGATTAAAAGTGGAACTCATAGTGTTTCTTCAGCCACTGGTAAAAAAGAAACAAATTCCACTGCCTTCAATAATTAAATCTACCCATGGATGTATGAGTATTTCACCATGAGAACACCCAACATCACATTATTTTACTACTTGGGCTTAATATCCATCTAAAAAGAACTAAAAATGTAACTCATGAGATCAGAGTAAATTCTAAGTTCTTTACAGTAAAATTTGCCTGTTTAGTTAGGAAATAGCTTTCTGAATTTTATGTTTCAATGTAAAATTTCTAGGATACCTTTTCTTCTGTTTTGTACAGACCTAAAAGCACCTGAATTTTAGAAGCCAGTGTTGTGGTGCAGCAGGTAAAAAAGCATCCCGTGTGGGTGCCGATTTGTGTCCCACCTGCTCCACTGCTGATCCAGTTCCCTGCTGATGGCCTTGGGAAAAGCAGCAGAAGATGGCCCAAGTGTTTGGGTCCCTGTGACCCACATGGGAGACATAAAAGCAGCTCTGGGCTCCTGGCTTCAGCCTGCTTCAGCCCTGGCCGTTGTGGCCATCTGGGGAAGGAACCAGAGGGTAGAAGATTCCCCTTTCTGTCTCTCCCTCTCTTTCAAATAAATCAATAAATCTTAAAAAACAAACAAACAAACAAACAAAAAAACAAATACATGGGGGCTTGTGTTGTGCCACAGTGGGTTAACACCCTGGCCTGGAAGTGCCGGCATCCTATATGGGTGCAGGTTTGAGACCTGGCTACTCCACTTCCAATCCAGCTCTCTGTTGTGGCCTGGGAAAGCAGTAGAGGTAGCCCAAGTCCCTGGGCCCTTGCACCTATATGGGAGACCCAGAAGAAGCTCCTGGCTCCAGCTGTTGAGGCCAATTGGGGAGTGAACCATCAGATGGAAGACCTCTCTCTCTCTCTGCCTCTCCTCTCCCTGTGTAACTCTTTCAAATAAATAAATAAATTTTTTTTTAATGAGTTTCGATTTAAGGAAAATGGAAAGTCTTCTGAAGAAAAAAACAAAAAAAGCCTGTCAACATACTTTATTATTACAGAAAAAATGTGTATGAAATCCTGGCCTTCTAGATTATGCAATTTTCCTTTTTCTTTTTTTTTAAGATTTATTTATTCATTTTATTATTATATTTTTTTTGACAGGCAGAGTTAGACAGTGAGAGAGAGAGACAGAGAGAAAGGTCTTCTTTTTCCATTGGTTCACCCCCCAAATGGCTACTACGGCCGGCGCTGCACCGATCTGAAGTCAGGAGCCAGGTGCTTCCTCCTGGTCTCCCAAGTGCAGGGCCCAAGCATTTGGGCCATCCTCCACTGCCTTCCCGGGCCACAGCAGAGAGCTGGACTGGAAGAGGAGCAACTGGGACAGAATCCAGCATCCCGATCAGAACTAGAACCCGGGGTGCCGGCGCCACAGGCGGAGAATTAGCCTAGTGAGCCTCAGCACCAGCCTAAAAGATTTATTTTTATTTATTTGAAAGACAGAGCTACAGAGGTAGAGACACAGAGAGAGAGGTCTTCCATCTGCTGGTTCACTCCCCAGATGGCCTCAATGGCCGGAGCTGTGCCGATCTGAAGCCAGGACCCAGGAGCTTCTTCCAGGTTTCCCACAAGGGTGCAGGGGCCCAAGGACTTGGGCCATCTTCTACTGCTATCCCAGGCCACAGCAGAGAGCTGGGTTGGAAGAGGAGCTGCCAGGACTAGAACCGAAGCCCAAATGGGATATTGGCACTTCAGGCCAGGGCTTTAACCCGCTGTGCCACAGTGCCGGCCCCCTAATTTTTCTTAGTTGAGGTGAAAAACAGCATACTCTCTACCTAAATTGTGAACTTTTCTTTTTTTAAAAAAGATTTATTTATTTATGTGAAAGGCAGAGTTACAGAGAGACAGAGATAAAAAGAGGTCTTCCACCTGCTGGCTCACTCCCCAAATGGCAGCAATGAATTATACTTTTAAAATTTAGTTATTTTCATAAATTTTGTTTTGTTACTCTGATTTCAGGGAGTTTGCTTCTGATCACAACAGTCTAGAAAGAAATGCCAACAATATAGTAAACAAATAGAAGGTTAGTCAACAGTATTGAGTTACTCTGATCCAAATCCCCATCCACAAATATGAGAAACATTCCTCCACATTATGAGCGTGCAAGGAATAATAATAATGAAGAATTTCAATGCTAAACTGAATAGATTTTTCTCTATTTCATGAATCAAAGCCAAATAGTTGCTTTGTCACTTCACGTAATGTAAAGTCTAATTCTAAAAAAACTCAAAGCCCTTTTCAAACTTCAGCAGTTGGAGCCATTCAGTTATTATTTTAAAAACTTCCGGGGCCAGTGCTGTGGCGTAGTAGGTAAAACCGCTGCCTGCAGGGCCGGCATCCCATATGTGTGCCGGTTCGAGTCCCGGCTGCTCCACTTCTGATCCAGCTCCTTGCTATGGCCTGGGAGAGCTCAGAAGATGGCCCAAGTCCTTAGGCCCCGAGCCCAAGCTCCTGGCTGCTGGCTTTGGATCTGCACAGCTCCGGCCATTGCAGCCGATTGGGGAGTGAACCAGTGGTTGGAAGACCTCTCTCTCCCTCTTTCTGCCTCTCCTTCTCTGTGTGTTTAACTTTTTTTTTTTTTGACAGGCAGAGTGGACAGTGAGAGAGAGAGACAGAGAAAGGTCTTCCTTTGCCGTTGGTTCACCCTCCAATGGCCGGCGCAGCCGGCGCGCTGCAGCCAGCGCACTGCGCTGATCCGATGGCAGGAGCCAGGTACTTCTCCTGGTCTCCCATGGGGTGCAGGGCCCAAGTACTTGGCCATCCTCCACTGCACTCCCTGGCCACAGCAGAGAGCTGGCCTGGAAGAGGGGCAACCGGGACAGAATCTGGCGCCCCGACCAGGACTAGAACCTGGTGTGCCGGCGCCACAAGGCGGAGGATTAGCCTAGTGAGCTGCGGCGCCGGCCTGTGTTTGTAACTCTTTCAAAGAAATAATTAAGTCTTTAAAAAAATAAAAAATTCTATGGTTGAGCATTTAGCTTATGATGTTGTTTGGGATGCCTTCCATCCCGTATCACAGTGCTAGGTGTGAGTTCTGGCTTTGTTTCTGATCCACTTCCTACTGATATGCATCCTGGAAGGCAGCAGGTGATGGCTCAAGTACTTGGGTTTCTGTCGACCATGTGGTGGACCAGGATTTAGTTCTGGATTCCTGGCTTCAGCCTAGCCCAAACCTGACTGCTATGGAATTTGGAAAGTAATCAATGGACAGATTTCTCTCACTTTGTATGTCTGTCTCTCTCTCTTCCTTTCAGGTAAAGTAAATATATGTAACTAAAAACCAGAAACAGAAATAAAAACTTCCAAAGCCAACTTTTCCTATTTTGGATTTCTATGTTAATTAATATGCATGTGGCCAGATGACTAACTGCTTCCATTGCCTCAGATCACTGTAGAAGCTTAGCATTAAGATTCTATCATAGGGGCCGGTGAGGTGGTACACAGTAGGTTAAGCTGCATATTGACACTGGTATCCCATATCACAGTGCTTGTTGGAGTCCCCAGTTGCCTAAATTCCAACCCAGCTTTCTGCTAATGAAACTGGGAAAGAAGCAGAAGGCCCAAATACTTGGGCCTCTGCCACTCACTTGCCCATAGGGAGTTCTGGGAATCCTAGTGCAGACCCAGATGAGCCTCCTTGGCTGGTGTGGCCATTTGGGGAGTGAACCAGTGGACAGAAGATCTCACTCTCTCCCTTTTTATCACTTGCCTTTTCAAATAAATAAATAAATAAATAAGTCATAAGAAATATGACATAGGGAGCAAAGCACACAGGCTTACATATTAAATAGGATGTTTACAAAAACTTCAAAGTACCACCCTGAAAAAGTCACATGGAATTGAGAATGATTTCCCTTATATATCATTTAATATATATATATATATATACACACACATATTTATGATTTATTTATTTGAAAGGCAAAGCTATAGAGGAGGAGGAAGAGATAGAGAGGCAACAGCTAGAGCTGGACCAGGCCAAATCCAGAAGCCTGAAATTCTATCCATGTCTCCCACAGAGGTAGCAGGGACTCAAGCACTCAAACCATCTTCTGCTCCTTTCCCAAGCACGTTAACAAGGAGCGGCATAGGAAGTGAAGCAGCCAGGACTCAAATCAGCTCTTGTGGTTTGCCAGTGTGGCAAGTGGGGGCTTAACCTGCTCTGTCACAGTGCTGGCCTCGAGAATGATTTCTCAAAGTCTCTGAGACCCCAACACCATACCTTAACCTCCTTGGAGCTACTTGAGGTCTTCCCTTCAGTCTTTTTCAGCTTTGATGTGGAGGAACTGCTTTTGCTGCTGCCACTGTTCTCCTTATTGCTGTTACTGCTTGACTTCAAGGAAGATGACTGACTAATGGTCCTCTTTCGAGAACTATGCTCTGATTTTGGATCTTTTGAAGGAACAGGCCCAGCAGGAGAAGGCAACAAATCTTTTTCTTTTGCAGTACTCTGCTTAGATGACCTGCCAAACCAAAAAATGTTCTTATTTCTCCACATAGTAATATAAGGTTGATGGATTTTTTTCATTTTCTTTATCTGCTTTCAAGACAAATATATTTTTCCCCATTTGATTATTAGGACATAAGATTTCTACAAAAACAAGACTGTAAACTCCACAATGGTGGGCATCCTGCCTGTTTTTTTTTCCCCAATAGCTGTATGGTATCTAAACTGGCTACTATCCAATAAGCACTCAGTAAGTACTGGTTGAGTGAATCAACATATGAATCATGAATGAAGAGACCAACTTCTCAACTTACCAATCAGTCATTCAGGATTTATAGGTAAGCGTGCCATATAATGTTCTTACCCTGCGCTTACCCCTGTCCTATTAAAAAGACAGGAAGAAGTAACTGAATCTTACATCTTTTATATCCCTACTAGCTAAAAATCAAAAGCTCCCAGTATTTGATGTATGAATGCATGTGTATCACAGAAATTTACTACATCGAACACCATGAAAGAACATTAGAAAGAACCCAGTACCAATTGATAGACATGTTAACAACAGTGGTATGTAGCATGTTTGGTGGACATACTCTCGATTGCTGGATGGCTTGTGGCTTGTTGAATTCTTATCTTCTGTTTTGGGTTTCTTGCTCTCATTGGCTCGGTTATCATCTTCACTCTGGATGAGAAACAGAAAATGGCAGATACTAAGTCTGATTTTCATTCATGCAACTTCAGTGTCCAGCACCAGTCACACCTCAATTGTTTATCTTTGATAAAACTTTAGAAATAAGACAAATGAGGAGCCAGGGTGGTGACACAGTGGGTGAGGCTGCCACTTAACGATGCTAGCATTTCCTATCAGGTGCTGGTTCAAGTCCTGACTGCTCTGCTTTGGATCCAGCTTTTTGCTAATGTATTTAGAAAGTCAATAGTAATGGCCTATGTACAATGGCTCATGCCACCCATGTGAGAGAAGTTCCTAGCTTCTGGCTTTGGCTTTACCCAACTCTAGCTGTTGCAGCTATTTGGGGGAGTGAACCAGCAGATGCAAAATTTCTCTTGCTGTCTCTTTGTCTCCCCTCTTTCTGCTGCTCTACCTTTCAAAAACAAACAAACAAAAATCCTAAAAAGATGTAAGACAAATGAGAAGTCAAAGGACTCATTTAAACAATGTCCTATAAATCTGGTCTTTTGTAAAGATTAAAGACAGAATTATATAGAGAGAAGAAGAGACAGAAACAGAGAGAGAGAGATAGTTCACCTGCTGGTTTACTCTGAAAAATGGCCACAACAGCTGGAAATGGGACAGGCAAAAGCCAGGAGCATGGAACTACATCTGGGTCTCCCACATGGGTGATGGGATCCCAAAGCATTTGGACCAACTTCCAATCCTTTCCCAGACACATTACCAGGGAGCTGGATCTACGTGGAGTGGCTGGGACACCAACCAGCATCCATATGGAAAGCTGGCATTGTAGGCAATGGTTTAACCCCCTATACCACAACACGGTCCCTAAATCTGGTCATAAGGTTGGAAAGATACATCCAGTTGCAGATACATCCAGCTTTCTGATGGCATCTTCTTCATGTAATGACTTTAGGGATTGGAGATATCCATAAAAATAAAATGAAGATAAAATTCACATATCATAAAATTAGCTGTTTAAAAATGCACAATTCCATAGCATTAATATATTCATATAACCATACAACTATCACAACAATCAACTTTAGAACATTTTGATCATCTGAAAAACACACCCTAATCCACGAATGATCACTCTTCAATCTGTTCTCTCTCAGGTCCTGGCAACCACCACATAGTCTTTTTGTATTTGTTTATTCTAGACACCTCCTCTAAAAGGATCATATAGTATGTGTAGCCTTTTTTGTCTGGTTCTTTTCACTTAGCATAATATTTTTCTTAAAGATTTATTTATTTACTTGAAAAGCAGAGTTACAAAGAGAGATCTTGCATCCACTGGTTCACTCCCCAAATGACCTCAATGGCAGGGGCTGGGCCAGGATGAAGCCAGGAGCTAGGAGTTCTCTAGGATCTCCTACATGGATGGTTGCGGCCCATGGACTTGGGTCAAGTTTTGCTGTTTTCCCAGGTACAATTAGCAAGGAATTGGATCAGAAGTAGAACAGCTGGTACTCAAACGGGTACCCATATGGGATTCTAGGGCTACAGGTGGTAGCTTAACCTGCTGCACCACAGTCCTGGCCCCAGCATAATATTTCTGAGGTTCAGCCATGTAGCAGCATGGATTAGTACTTTACTTGCATTTATCCGTGGACAGCACTCCACTGTATGGATATGCCACACTGCAGTTAGTCATTCATCAGCTGATGACCATCTGGGTTTTTAAAAACTTTACTTATTTGAGAGGTTGAGAGGTAGAGCCATAGAGAGAAAGAGAGAAAGAGAGAGAGAGAGAAAGGGCTTCCATCCAATGATCAGAAGCCTGGGACTCCATCTGGATCTCCCACATGGGTAAAGCGCCCAAGCACTTAGGCCATCTTCTGGTGCTTTTCCTAGACCATTAGGAGGGAGCTGGATCAGAAGAGGAGCAGCCAGGACTTGAATCAGCACACATATGGGATGCCGGCATCACAGGTGGCAGCTTTACCTACCATGCCACAATGCTGGCCCCCGTGTGTCATTTTTTAATGTAAAATGTCGCAGTACATAAAAATGTTGCACTTATTTCTCTTACTACACTGAAAATAGTCAAAGTTTGGCAATTTTAAATTTTCCATGTGTCCAGGCAGGGAAATGACTCCTACTGATGGGGTCTATTCAACAAACTACTTTCAAGTTTGGCGATCAGCAAATCGGAACCTGTAATTAAACATGTGGGAATAAATGTTCCAGAGTGGTAAAATGTCATTCCCATAATGCCAAAGTCCTAGATGTAGACAGGAAAATCCATGTTCCTTGTATCCTGAGACAGGTGGTAAGCGACCAGGCCTGTGAGGCACCCAAAAAGGAGCGCTGGAGCCCAGGAGGGCACACCAGCTGCTGCTGCGTAGCCAGTGATCTCACCAGTAGCAACCAGTGCGGTGTAGCAAGAGTCAAAATTATGTAAAGGCATTGTTGAACCCATGTTCTTCTGTATAGTTCTCTTCTCGCTCTGTCCAGGCAGGGGACTACACTAGGCCTGCTCTCCCGAAGTCACTGGCTGCAGGCTGAAGACATGCAAGCCACAAAGCTAGGAACTACGAGCTCTTTTTGTTGCACTCTCTGAGGTACTGCCAAAATGTGTTCTAAAGGAGCTATATCATTATATACTGTATGAAAGTTTTAGCATTGCATGAAAACTTCTAACTCCCACAACTGGACCAATATTTGCTATGATCTGTCCTTCTGATTATAGCCAAGCCTAACGACTTTTCAAAAACTTTTTGACTAAAAACGTTAAGTGGTAGGCTTATCTACTGTCCGTGTTACTTTCCATATGAAAATAAGGTTTCCTATTACTTCACATATAAGAACACAAAAAAAGCAAATATTTGGGAGGGTGTTGGGATACGCTCATCCCAAGTTAGAGTGTCTAGGATTGAGTTCTGCGTCTACCATCTGACCCAGCTTTCTGCTAAATGCTCTTGGGAGGCAGCAGATAATGGCTCAAGCACTTGAGTGCCCGTTTACCATGTAGGAAACCCAGATCCTGGCTTCCGGTTTCAGTCTGGTCTAGCCCTGACTGTTGTAAGCATTTTGCAGAGATAATCAGTAAACTCTTTCTCTGTCTCTCTTCATCACTTTGCCTTTCAAATAAACAAAAGTGAATAAGTAAACAGTTTTTTAAAAAAAGTCAGTATTCTACTATGATAAAAATGTGATTGTTGCCTTGCACAAATGATTAAATATGGATAAATGAAAAAATGAAAGAAATTAATCCATACCTTTCACTGACCTTGACTGGGATCACTCTCAGTATCTGCTTTATCTCTAGGAAAGGCCTCTGACACTTTGTTTTTACCAATGTCATGAGTTTTAAAAATTATTACTGAGTTTCATAGCATATACTTTATGAAATAAAAATCTGACTTAAATAGTCATTGATATAAAACAAGCTTTCTAGAAAAAACACCAATGAGTTATGGGGGAGATATGGGGCACTTTTGAAGGACGAGGAATTTTTTTTTTTTTTTTTTTTGGTGGGGAAATGGTGGGGGGTGGTGGTGGTGGTGGAAGGACGAGGATTTTTTAATTACAAGTCTACATAGCGAACGTTTTAAACAAAAGACTAAAAAGGACATTCAATTTCTATATTCTAAATATCTGAATATGTTATAAAGAATATATAATAGGGGCGGCACTGTGGCGCAGTGGGTTGATGCCCTGGCCTGAAGTGCCGGCATCCCATATGGGCGCTGGTTCGGGACCTGGCTGCTCCACTTCCGATCCAGCTCTCTGCTATGGCCTGGGAAAGCAGTAGAAGATGGCCCAAGGCCTTGGGCCCCTGCACCCGCGTGGGAGGCCCGGAGGAAGCTCCTGGCTTCAGATCAGTGCAGCTCCGACTGTTGCGGCCAATTGGGGACTGAACCATTGGATGGAAGACCTCTCTCTCTCTGTCTCTCTGCCTCTCTTCTCTCTGTGTAACTCTTTCAAATAAATAAATAAATCTTAAAAAAAATAATATATAGTTTTTAAAAGCACAAAAGGACAATTTTTTTTAAATTTTATAATAAACAACTGTATCTAAAGAGTAGACTCTATAATATATAACATATATAATTATATAATTATTTATAATATATACTATATATAATATATAGTATGTATATAATATATAATTCCTGTTTTATACAATTCTACAAATTAAACCCCATAACCACATCTAACAATCTGAGGCTGTCGGCTAGAGGAGCCACCAGCCATACATAGTTCACTAAATAGCTTTGGAAACTCATTGGCTAGAGCAAATAAAATAATATGCCTCAGTTTCCTAGAAATTCAAATAATATGGACAATTTAAATCTCCGAAGATTTTCATTTGTTAGAATAGCATCTGCACTGGGGGTTTAATAAAAGGAGAGCAGAAAAACATCTCTGGATGATTTTGTTGAGGAAATAATCTCTATCCTGTTTGTGATTCTCAAGTCAGCTTGATTGGGGTTTATCTCCTAGGTTTACTTGATAAGGCCAGTCTCGGTACCTATCTGTTCACCCACTGAAGCTCAACTTTATGTCTTTTACAATCACACTCAAAGGTATTCATTAGGGGAAACTATAGTATTCTTCAACAAATATTATTTAAAAGTTTACTTTCCTCTAAAAATTCCTCACTATAGCAGAAAAGATCTTTAGGGCCGGCACTGTGGTACAGCAGGTAAAGCTGCTACCTATGGTGCTGGCATCCCATATGGGCGCCCATTCGAGCCCCCGCTGCTCCGTTTCTGACCCAGTTCCCTGCTACTGTGCCTGGGAAAGCAGCGGAAGATGATCCAAGCACTTGGGCCCGTGTACCCACATGTGAGACCTGGAAGAAACTCCTGGTTCCTGGCTCCTGGCTTTGAACCGGCCTAGGTCTGGCCACTGTGGCCATTTCAGGAGTGAACCAGTGGATGGAAGATCTCTCTCTGTAACTCTGCCTTTCAAATAAATAAATAAAACTTAAAAATAAAAAGCTATTTTTCCCTCAGAAGTCTCCACTATATATGTAAATTTGTGACTTACTGATATTTCCACAGCATTTCAAATTATGATGTTTAAAAAACAAATGGAGGTGCTGGTGCTGTGGCATAATTGGTAAAGTTGCTGCCTGCAGTGATGGCATCCCATTTGGGTGCTGGTTCGAGTACTGGCTGCTCCACTTCTGATCCAGCTCCATGCTAATGTGCCTATGAAAGCAGTGGAGGATGGCCCAAGTACTTGGGCCCCTACCCAGGTGGGAGACCCAGAAGAAGCTCCAGGCTCCTGGCTTGAGATCAGCCCAGCTCTGGCTGTTGTAGCCATTTGGAGAGTGAAACAGCAGATGAAGACCTCTCTGTCTGCCTCTGCCTGTTTGTCAAATATATAAATCTTTAGCAAAAACAAAACAAAACAAAAACAAACGGGGGGCTGGCGCCTGCAGTGCAGACATCCCAGATAGGCGCCAGTTCGAGTCCCAGCTACTGTACTTCTTTATGCAGCTCTCTGTCTGTTACAGCCTGGGAAAGCAGTAGAAGATGGCTCAAGTCCTTGGGCCACTGCACCCACATGAGAGACCTGAAAGAAGCTCCTGGCTCCTGGCTTTGGATTGGCCCAGTTGTGGCCGCTGTGGCCAACTGGGGAGTACACCAGGGGATGTAGACCTCTCTCTCTGTCTCTCCTTTTCTCTCTAACTCTGACTTTCAAATAAATAAATAAATCTCTTAAAAAAAAAAAAAAGTGGTACAGCAGGTTAAAGCCCCAGCCTGCAGTGCCAGCATCCCATATGGGTGCCGGTTGGAGTCCCAGCTGCTCCACTTCCAATCTAGCTCCTTGGTAATGCTCCTGGGAAAGCAGGGGAGGATGTCTCAAGTCCTTGGGCCCCTGCACCCATGTAGGAGACCCAGAAGGAGCCCCTGGCTCCTGGTTTCTTATCAGCTCAGCTCCAGCTATTGCAGCCATTTGGGGAGTGAACCAGCACATGAAGACCTTTCTTTCTCTCTCTCTCTCTCGTCTCTACAGATCTCTATAACTCTTTCAAATAAATAAAATCAATCTTTACAAAAAACAGAAACAAATGGAGACAGGCATTTGTCCTAGAGATTACCATGCCTGCACTCCCTACCAGAGTGCCTGGGTTTGATATGCAACTAGGGCTCCAGCTCCTGATTCCAGCTTCCAGCTAATGCAGATCCCAGGAAGCAGCAGTGACAGCTCAAGTAACTGGTTTCCTACCATCCAGGAGAGAGACCTGGACTGTTTTCCCAGCTCCCCAGTTTTGGCCCAGACTAGTCCTAGCTGCTGCAGGTATGTGGGCTATGAATCAGCAGATGGGAGATTGCTCGCTCACTCTCTCTAATAAAAAAGAATGAGAGTAACACCACAATCTTTACATACCTTATGTTTCCTCTTGCCTTTGTTGGACACTTTCTCTGAGGCTTGTTTCTGGGCCTCTCTTGTGTGCTTTTCTGGCACATTTTTCTTTTCCCCCTTAGGTGGCTCTGTCTCTTTGTAAGGCTTTCCTGGTATTCTAGTCAAAAGATTCAGGTCAATCTTCACAATAAGTGGATACCTGTCATCAGGCTCACTAAGGGGTGAAAGAAGTTCCTTCTCTTCCATAGGAGAGAACATTCGCTGCCGAAAAAAGCTATCTTCTTCCTCCACTGAGGAGGGTTTAACAGGAGTCCTATTGCTGTCAGGGTACTTAGGAGTTTGAGAGGAAGGAGGAAGGCTCTCACTTTCATCTGAATCTGAGGATGAGGTATCTGTTTCTATGATTTCCCTTGATTTCTGGGAAGACTTACTCGTTGACTTGTATTTCTTTTTCTCTGCTGGAGGCCGAGGGGAAGATTTAGACTCCTTCTTTATATTGGGTTTCCTTGAGCCTTTGGTGGCTGCTTTGTGTCTGCTGGAGGGCATGCTGGCAGCCATGTCGACAGGCGTCTCACTTTCTATCTTCAGGCCTCCACGGGGTTCTTCAACAGCTGCCTTCTCGGCCTTTTTGGGTTGTTTTTTGCCTACAGTTCTCCTCTGTGTTGTGCTGTCACTCTGTGCAGGAGACTTCTGCCTTCCGCGCCCACTTTCTGATCCCTTTTGGATGGTTTTAGAGTCTCGCCCAGGAGTAGCAGAACTTGTTTCTTTAGGTGCACTCGTCTCCGTGTAGCTATTCCCAGTGCTCTGTTCTCGGCCCTCCTTTTTGTAGCCTTGAGATGATGGGATGTTACTATCCACAGAAGAAGCTGGAGACACCTTATGCGGGTTCACTTTATTCAACCAATTATCTAGTTGCCATTTGTTTGTTGGTGGTGGTTCAGGCTGAAAAACAAATATATGTATATATATATACTTTTTCAATATTGAAACTCTTTTATAATCAGAAGGAAAGAATACAATGTCTAATGCAACAAAAGCATTGCTTTTTCATAGTTCTGACTGAATCAAAGCATCTTATCAGCTCTAATCACTTCAGTGAGATTATGCACTTAATGTTATATAAGGACACTTTAAAAATTCTGTGGAATATAGCATTAAAACCTAAGCTTATTGTGGTGCAAAAAAATTTGGGATCTGTGAAGAATCCATTTCCTATGAAATTTTTAAAACTTCCCCAAGTACGGGCTTTAAAACAGCAAATATTCACGTTAGGAATTCAACTTCAAAGGCATTCTGACAAATGACCACACAGAATATTTAATTCCACGAAGTAAATAATATAGGTAGCAAGACAGATTTTTACCTGAATTTTACTGAGCCACAGTGAAATTATATGACTCATTTTATTCACAATTATTACACAATATGAATTACCATTTTGAAACACAAAAATAAATTCAGTATTTAAATGCCCTGCAAGCATTTCCTAATCTAGATGAAATGTCCATTAAAAGAATAAGGAAACTGAAGTATCTAGTTTTTTTCTAAAAGACATAGTTGAATTTCCCTTTGTTGGAATATGTAAACTGCTTTCCTTCAACTCTCACACTGGAGTTGGGTCTGAAGCAAACATCACCAAGAGCCCTAAGAGGGCTATGGAAGGTAGCTCTTCCTTCTGTCTCACCTCAGGAGATGCACTCTGGGATGGCTCATTTGCCTCACTATCACTGGAACTACTTTCACTCTCGGAGTCAGATCCAGAGCTGCTTTCAGACCCACTGTGGCTGCTAGAATCATCTCTGGAGTTATCTGCCCCTTCACTATTATGATGTGAAGGTTCAGAGTTACTGAAAAAGATTAAAAATGAACATTTTTTAATATAATCACAACAGGAAAACATTCAAATCTGACAATCAACTTTATTTAAAATGTTTGCTATTTTTTAGAAGTTTTTATTTAGAGGCCAGTGTTGTGGTATAGCCAGTTAAGCCGCTGCCTGTGACATCGGCATCTCACATGGGCACCAGTTTGTGTCCTGGCTGCTCCACTTCTAATCCAGTTCCCTGCTAATGGCCTGAGAAAGCACCAAAAGATGGTCATAGTGCTTGGATCACTTCCACCCACGTGAGAGACCCAGAAGAAGCTCCTGGTTTCAGCCTGGCTTAGCCATGGCCATTGCAGCCATCTGGGGAGTGAACCACTAGAAGGAAGACCTCTCTCTCTCTGTAACCCTTTCAAATAAATAAATAATTTTTTTTTAAAAAGTTTTTATTTGTTTGTGAGAGAAAGGCAGAAAGACAGATAGAGCCATACAGACAGCTCCCATTCTCTGGTTCACTCCCAAAATACCTACAATAGCTGGACTGGGGTAGGGTAGCAACTGGGAGCTGGGACTCATTTCAGGTCTCCCACAAGGCTGAAAGTTATTGAGTACTTGAGCCACCACCATTGCTTCCCAGGATCTGCATTAGCAGGAAGCTGAAGGCTGGAGCCAAGAGTCAGGAATCAAACACAGATACTCTTATGTGGGACACAGAAGTTTTACCCACTAGGCTACAGGTGTGCTCCCTAAATGCTTATTATTTGTTAAGCTGTTTCAATTCTATGAATCCAGAATTTGAAAATAAATTAACTAAATATTAAAAATAATTTGAAGTATAATTTATATACAAAATTCATCCATTAACATAATTCAATGATTTTTAATTTAGTTGTATACCAACTATGACAATTGATAACATTTAATTTATAAGGCCACTTATTATATCACTACAATATTATCAGGTTGACTTTATCTCTCCAAATTGAAAAAAAAAAAAAAAGAAAACAATGTCTACCTTCCTGGTGTACTTCTTGGCATTGTTTTATCACAATCCTAAAATAAAAGCACAAGAAGAAAATCTATGAATGAATAAACAGTACTCTATTTGCCTAAAATGAACAAAAGTTGAATTCCTGATGAAGAAACTGGCGTTCTCTAATGCATGTATCAATGCTTACTTAACATTCATACTGTTTTACCTAAAGAATAACACAATTGTCAGGATGAGATCAAAGGCTTTGCTAATAGTCTTTCTTATCAATAACCTCCTGCTTCATGAATATCCTTTGATCTATAACAAATGTTAAGGAAAAGTCAATACTGGTAAAAGAAGAAACAAATGGAAGATAAAACACAGAGTAGAAAACTAAAACATCTGAATGTCAGAAAGCCTGCAGGAAGAAATTTATTTTAAATAAATGGATCACAAATATATGACTCAATTACACATAAAATACAATGAAACAAATACTGGATGAGACAGGCAAAAATAACATAGTAAACATACCTGTTCCCCATCACTGTCTTCACTGCTGCTGAGTTTTAAGTCATCTTTTAACATACTAGAGGGAAAAGGCAGAAAGGATTATTATATCTGAAACAGTTTAACATGGCATGCCAGAATATTAAATATCTACCAGCAATTCTAGAAATAATCATTGCAATCGTCAAAGATTTAATTGAAAAACAAAGAAAAAAGAAAGCCCAAGTCTTACTCTCAGTTTCATTCATTTAGAATACAAACAGAGTAATTTAACCATTTCATGAACTCTAACCTTTCCATGGGTAATATGTTCACCTTTCTTTTCTATTAAGTGAAAGCTACTTTCTATAAACTCTCATACTAATTTCTGTAATCTAGAAGTTTCCTCGAATTGCACTCCCACACACATTATATCACTATTAAAACAAATTAACACAGCCATACCTAACCGTCCACTAGGAAGACTTAACTCCTAAAAACAGGGAAGATAAAATGAAAGGATCAAGCAATTCTTTCTTTGTCTCCAGTATTCTATGAAGACAGATTTGTGTAACTGCTGGCAACTGGATAATTGTAAAAATCAGAAGAACACAATACCCTAAGCCAAAGTTCTAGCTCACAAATGCCTTGCTATGAAAGACAAGTGCCCTCCATAGAAGCAACACTTTTGGGTGACAGCCTTGGTTACACAACAGAAATGACTATGTAGGAGTTTTTTAAACTCCAGGTTCCAAGTCCTCAAAATCCAAATCAAGTTTAAAAACCACCCAATAATATAATTTAATACTAACTTAAAAACCACATACTAATACTAATAGATAAGCCAACAGTTTTTAGAATGTGTTTTGAAAGTAAAAATAAAGATCTAAATTTTCCTTAATGCCACAAAATCAAAACCATTACGCTTAAAAACTGAGTAACAATTTACAAACACTATGTCTTTTTATAGGAGAGGAAAAATTATTATGCAGTTTAAGGAGAAATGCAACCAGAAAATAGGTCATTTCTCATTAAAGTAGCCCCATTACCTTTCTTTTAAAAATTTTATGGCAGTCTCCCATCAGTGGGAAAGAAATGCTCAATATTACACAAAAGACCACCTTGAAATTAAGTAAACAGATGATTATAGAATTATGAAAAGAGTTTAAAAACTAGCCCAAGAAAGTGGGATGGACAGAGTATTCTTTAGGACATGAGCTTTAGAGTGGATCTCCATGCAGGGAAATATACTTATTCTGAATTCCCTCAATCCTTCTGATTTAATAATGGCAACTCAATGAACCGGTTCACACATGTTAGTATGTCCAAAATTTTATCAGACTACTTATGCTTTCTTATCTTCAACAAAACGATGTGCACATTTATAGTAGGCACTGAACAGTTTTTTGTGCATATATTTATATGATAAATAGAAATACAATTTCAATTTTTCAGAAGTGGCAGAGGGGAGCCTGTATTCATACATGTTCATTTTTACTTGGTTCTCCCAATGCTGATTGTAGTGGTGCCAGACAGATTATCAGCAGTTGGTGGCTATGACATAGGAACCTGACACTATGGGCCATGATTTCTTTAGAATTTCATTTTAGTCACTGAGGTAACAGGAATTCAGTTCATTGTGTAAGCTGAAATTTTATCATCATCCTATCACATTTTGATGTATCTTCCTGGTTCTGACTACATAAAATTGGAAAATCTTAAAGACAGTAAACTACATTGGTTCTTACACTGAGTGGTTCTGACTTATTAAATACAAACTATGAACACACACACACACACACACACACACACACAAAACCTGTGAGATATGAGGAAAGAAACTGTGATCTCAGAGCAGAGATAGGCAAACTATGGCCCACAAGCCAAATTCAGCCTATCACCTTTTTTGCAAGGAAAGTTTTATTGCAACACAGTGATACCCATGGTCTCTGGCTGCTTTCATATTACAATGGCAGAATTAAAGACAGTACATAGACAAAGTAGTCCTGAAAGTCTCAAATATTTCACTATCAGGTCCCTTACATAACAGTTTGTCCACTCTTGCCTTAAAAGATTAAGTAAATATTTCTAAGTACTTTCCAAAATATTCAGGTATCACAAACTACTTTTAGCAAAAACATTTTAATAAAAAGTTAAATACGTAAGTAAACTTACGATTTAGGTTGGTGTCCATTTGAAGTTTTAGAAGAAGGGTTATATCTTTCTAGAACAAAAAGAATGTGTAACTAAGCAACTGATTGGCTATTTAGACTGTAAAATATCTATCCTCAACTAAATATAAATCAAAACAATGAGATATAATTCTTCACCCATGAAAATGGCAAAACATTAAAGCTCAATAATATGAGACACTGGTTGGTAAGTACTCCGGAAGCAGGCACACTTACATGCTATTGGCATGTAAGGAATGTAGACTTATATGATCTTTCTAGAAGGCAATCTGGCAATACTATCTCATCAATACTATAACTGTACTGCTATTGACCTGGCAATTCCAATGAAAGGAATTTACCTTACAGGTGTAACTGCAGAAATAGACACACACACATGAATATTTATATTTCCAACAGGAGAAACTGAAAATAAATGTCCATCAGTAAATGACTAGTTAAATAATGATTCTTTCATATAATATAGTACAATTTTTAAATTTAAAAAAATATTTTATTTATTTATTTGAGAGGTAGAGTTATAGACAGACAGAGAGAAAAGTCTTCCATCATCTGGTGCACTGATCAAATGGCTGCAAGGGCCAGAACTGAGCTAATCCAAAGCCAGGAACCAGGAGCCTCTTCCGGGTGCAAGGGACCATGCACTTGGGCTATCTGCTGCCTTCCCAGGCCATAAGCAGAGAGCTGGATTGGAAGAGGAGCAGCCAGGACACGAACTGAAGCCCCTATGGGATACTGCTACCACAGGCAGAGGCTTAGCCTACTACACCACAGCACCAGCTATAGTACAATTTTAACATTAAAAAGAACGAATTAGAGCTTTATATTGATAAACAGTTCTAAAATAACAAGTGAAAAAAATACAAAGTTACAAAGAACAGGTGCAGCTATAATCCCATTTGCCAATACGTAGCTTTGGGGAGAGAAAATGGGGGAGGAGTAAGGATGATATGTTCTTTTTTTTATTTTATTTTTTTTTTTTTTACAGGCAGAGTGGGCAGTGAGAGAGAGAGACAGAGAGAAAGGTCTTCCTTTGCCGTTGGTTCACCCTCCAATGGTTGCCGCAGCAGGCGCACCACAGCCGGTGCACCGTGCTGATCCGAAGGCAGAAGCCAGGTGCTTATCCTGGTCTCCCATGGGGTGCAGGGCCCAAGCACTTGGGCCATCCTCCACTGCCCTCCCGGGCCACAGCAGAGAGCTGGCCTGGAAGAGGGGCAACCGGGACAGAATCCGGCTCCCTGATATGTTCTTAAAAAAAGAGAAAATGGGCCGGCACCATGGCTCACTTGGCTAATCCTCTGCCTGCGGCGCCGGCACCCCGGGTTCTAGTGCCAGTTGCTCCTCTTCCAGTCCAGTTCTCTGCTGTGGCCCAGGAGGGCAGTGGAGGATGGCCCAAGTGCTTGGGCCCTGCACCCCATGGGAGACCAGGAGGAGGCACCTGGCCCCTGGCTTCGGATTGCAGCACCGGCCGTGGTGGCCATTAGGGGAGTGAACCAACGGAAGGAAGACCTTTCTCTCTGTCTCTCTCTGACTGTCTATAATTCTGTCTCTCTGTTTCTCTCTCTCTCTCACTGTCTAACTCTGCTTGTCAAAAATAAATAAATAAATAAAAAATAAGAGAAAATGTCAATTTTCTTGCCTACAGTTAGCTATTTTCTGTGTATCAAAAATATCAAGCTCCTTTTTTTTTTGAATACCTAAACCTTCAAGGAAGAACTAAGAATTCTACAAGGGTATATCAAAATCTTTATGGAAAAACGTATTTAAAAGGTAAGTTTATTTTGGTTTCAAAATTCTGAAATTCATGCAAGTTCTTACATAGTAACATCTTTATTAACTTTCTGAAAACAATGTACATGTGTGTTTCAAAATTTTTGTACCTAAATTAAAATTATCACTTAATTTTATTTTCCTCAAACTTTCTGAAGCCCCCCTCAACTCTATATATAATGATACTTCAAAATTTCATGTAAAAATTTAAATTTTCATCTTTTTATTTTTTAAGATTTATTTATTTGAAAGGCAAAGTTACAGAGATACAGAGGCAGAGGCAGAAAGATAGAGAGAGAGAGAGAGAGAAAAGAGAGAAAGGTCTTCCATCCTCTGGTTCACTCCCCAAATGGCCACTACAGCTGGAACTGGGCAGATCCAAAGCCAGAAGCCGGGAGCTTCTTCTGGGTCTCCCACATGGGTGTAGGGGCCCAAGCACTTGAACCATCTTCTACTGCTTTCCTAGGCTACAACAGAGAGCTGCATTGGAAGAGGAACAACTAAGTCTTGAACTGGTGCCCACACGGGATGTTGGCACTGCAGGCAGCGGCTTTACCAGCTACTCCACAGCGCCAGCCCCTTGGTTTCATCTCTTTTAAGATCACTAAAAAGAACTAGCAAGCATTCAAAAGTTCCACATTTTCATTTCCCCACAAACCTTAAAACCAGGATAAAATTACCTTATTTAAAAAGTTGTTACTTTTGGCAAAAAGACTACCTATTTTGTTAACAGAGGTATAGGGTGAAGCTCGCACATTTGTAATGGTTCCTGACATTATCACTATCAATTTACACAATCAGTATCCCTTGGGACCACATTTGCATTCCCTAAAGTTCTCTTCTGCTTAGGTTCTTCTGAGAGATCTAGAGAGTAGAGGTAAAGATTGGGATGTAGCACTCAGCAGACCAGGCTTTCCACCCAGACCAGAAGACCAAGGAAGCATAAATGGGGAATGTACAGACTTGGGAAGAGAAGAGCCATATTCAGCTACGATGACCCTTTCTTGCCTGAAGTTTTACCATCACAAAACCAAGTATCTTCATGAAGGAAGTAGAAAGTCAGAAGAATGAGGGGCCGGTACTGTGGCATGGTTAATACGCGGCACCAGCATATGATATGGGCGCCATTTCCCGTCTTGGCTGCTCCTCTTCTGACCCAGCTCTCAGCTATGGCCTGAGAAAGCAGTGGAAGATGGCCCAAGCACCTGGGCCCCTGCACCCATGTGGGAGACCAGAAGAAGCTCCTGGCTCCTGGGTTGGATTGGCTCAGCTCCGGCTATTGTGGCCATTTGGGGAGTGAACCAGTGGATCTAAGACTTTTCTCTCCGTCTCTCCCTCTCACTGCCTGTGACTCCACCTCTCAAATAAACAAATAAAAATAAAAAAGAAAACAATAGAAAGTCAGAAGAATGACTCGAGTTTATGAGGTGACCATCCAAATATATGAACTGTTTTAGTGAAGTTTATTTTAATTTCCCAAGACCCATAGACACTGACCTTGATGTTTTTAAGCATACCAAGATTTAGTTCAACCCATTACTACTTATCAGATCATAAAAATTAGGATAAGAAGCGCAAAAGAATTACTAAAGCAATATATGGTGAGACCATGAGAATCAAATACTTAGTAAATAGCTTACTTTGAAAACCAAGAGCAAAAAAATACTCACTTTGTTCTCCAGGACCAAAGTTGGACTGCTGAGGCTCCTAAGAAAAAGGAACATAAAATTATACAAAATGACATTAAGAAGGAAAGACTCATTAGGGAAAATGCTTCAAATTACATGAAAGAAAAGACATGGAAAGAATGTTACGATTCTGTGTGATGAGCTTCAACAATCCTGTGGCCAACAATGGACTTTCCAAGAGCATGACAATAATAACATGGGGCTACCCAATCATCTTGCTTTATCATCTTTCTTTTCTGCAGCATTCATGATACTCATCTTAATTCAGAGCTTTGAACAAGAGTAAAGAATTGCAAGTGAAGATTTGGGTCTTAAGAAAATGCTTACTTTACCAAAAAAAAGTTAACACTATAAACAGTGTACAGGTAAAAATAGCTATACACTATATACATTCAAAATATAGCACTTTTATTAGCTAAAAAAAAAATTCCATGAGGATATCCTCATGTCATGTTATTCCCTCCCTCTCTCTGCTCTCAGTATCTTATAAATAATTAGCAGCCTGAGGAAAAGACTGCCATGTATTTTTTGTAAGCCTTAGAATAGCATGGTTCCTAGCACTCAAGAAGCACCAATAGAACGGAAGCTAAAAATGTCACCTTTAGTTCAAGAAACACAGCTTTACAAACTCAACTTTCATGACCAGAATAGCTGTTTGATGTTGAAAACAGTGTCTCATTCTAGATAAAAGTCTGTGGTATAATCCCTAAAATACTTAAAAATAAACATAAGCTTTCTTCAGTAACAGAATTATCTGTGAAAGAACCATCTAAACAATAAGAAAGTTAAAATAACTTTCTTGTTAAGAAAAGCTGTAAACATGCATCTATAGTCAAAATGGTTTTTAGGAAAGGTGTCAACACCATCCCATAGAAAAAGAATAGTCTTTTCAACAAATGGACAACAAATAGGCTAGGACAACTAAGTAGCCACATGCTAAAGAATGAAGTTGTTCTTTTATGTCACACACTGTGGAAAAGTTAACTCAAAACGGATCAAAGAAGTAAATGTAAAAGCTAAAGTTATCACACTCGTAAGAAAACACAATGTCATATTTTAATGACCAAAGATTTGGCAAATAATTTTTATATACATATGTTATCAAAAATACGAAACACATAAAAGTAAAATAAACTGAACTTCAGGAAAAGTAAGATTTTTTGTGTTTCAAAGGATACCATTAGGAAAATAAACAACAACTCACAAAATGGGAAAGAATATTTGCAAATCATACCTCATAATGTACTTGTGTGTGTGTGTGTGTGTGTATATATATATATATAGAGAGAGAGAGAGAGAGAGAGAGAGAGAGAGAGAGAGAGCTCTTATAAATTCATGGATAACAAGAGATCCAACTAAAAACTGGGAAAAGCACCTGAATAGATATTTCTCCAAGAAAGATTTACAAATGGCCAATAGCACATGAAAAGATGCATGGATGCATGATACCATTTGTCATTAGGGAAATATAAATCAAGCCCACAAAGAGAGGCCTACCACTTCACACTAAGATTAGTAGAATCAAAAAGATAGTAATAAATGTGGACAAAGATGAGGAGAAACTGTAATCTTTACGGAAATGTAAATTGGTGTACTGCTTTGGAAAAGTTAGAGAGGGTTCCTCAGATGATTAAATACAAAATTACCATATGACCCAGCAATTCTACTCTTAGGTATGTAATTATAAATACAATATAAATATATTCTTCAGTATAAAACTAAGTGAAATAAGCACATATGCCCACATAAATACTTCTACATGAATGTTGACAGCAGCACTCTCTGTAATAAGCAAAAATAGAAATAAGTGGAATGTCCATCAGATGATTCAATAAAATATGATGTACATCCATACAATGGAATATAATTTGGCCACAAAAAGGAATAATATTCTGATACATGGTACAACTTGGATAAGCTTTGAAAACATCATAATCAAAAAGACTACTTTATATAATTCATTTAACGTCTAGAATAGGAAAATCAATACAGAGAGCAGATTAGTGAGTGGTTCCTTGGGGGTGGGGGAGAGAGAGGTTAGAGGGGAAGCAGGATAATAGTCAAGGGTGAAGAGTTTCTTCCTATGGTGATGACTGCACAGATCTATAAATATAATTAATGGAATGTACACTTTATCATTGTTTGTTTTTTAAAAGTTCCTATAAAGTTAACTTTTTATTTATTTGAGAGATAGTTAGAGAGAGAGGGGGACAGAGGAAAAGATCCTCCATCCACTGGTTCACTTCCCAAATGGCCACAAGAGCTGGAGCTGGGCCAATTCAAAGCCAGGAGCCGGGTCACCCAGGTCACCCATACAGTTACAGGGGCTCAAGTGCTTAGGCCATCTTCCACTGCCTTCCCAGGCCATAGCAGAGAGCTGGGTCGGAAGTGGAGCAGATAGTACTCGAACCAGCGCCCACAAGGGATGCCGGCACCATAGGCAGAGGTTTGCCCACTATGCCACAGTGCCAGCCCTATCATGACTTTTTAAAGACTTATTTTATTTATTTGAAAGGCAATTACAGAGAGAGACAGACAGACAGACAGACAGACGTCCATTTGCTGGTTCACTCCTCCCGCCCAGATTGGCCAAACTAATGCCAGGAGCCAGGAATTCCATCCTCGTCTCCCACGAGGATGCTTGGGCACAAGCACTTGGGCCATCCTTCACTGCCTAACCTGGTGCATCTACAGGGAGCTGGATAAGAAGCGGAGCTGCTGGGACTTCACTGGCACTCCAATATGGGCATGATATCAGTATCGCAGGGGGCAACTTAATTTACTACACCACAGTGCCACCCCTTGGAAGTCATACTTTAAATGAGTGAATTCACGGAGCCAGCACTGTGGCCTAACAGGTAAAGCTACTGCCTATGATGCCAGCATTTCATATGGGCACCAGTTCATGTCCTGGCTGTTCCACTTCTGATCCAGGTTTTTGCTAATGGCCTGTGAAAAGCAGTGGAAGATGGTCCAAGTACTTGGGCCTCTACCAACCACATGGGAGACCTGTAAGAATCTCCTGGCTCCTACCTCCAGCCTTTGCAGCCACTTGGGGAGTGAACCAGGGGATGGAAGATAGAAGATGTCTGTGTGTGTGTGCATGCATGTGTGTGTAACTCTGCCTTTCAAATAAAGACACCTTTAAAAAGAACAAATAAATGGGTGAATTCACATAAGTGAATATATAAGTGAGTTATATCTTAATACCACTGTTCAAAAATCTGAAAATAGAACAGTAGCCAAGAGGTCACTCTTTGTTGTGTTAGGCACTGTGCAGTGGGTTAAACCACCACTTGCAATGTCAAAAACCCTTACTGGAGTACTGGTTCAAGTTCCAGATGCTCTGCTTCTGATCCAATTTTTTGCTAATATATCTGGGAAAGCAGTGGATTATGGTTCAAGTACTGTAGCCCCTGCCACCCACATGGGAGCCCTGGATGAAGTTCCATGCTCCTGCTTTCAGCTTAGCCCAGCCCTATCTCAAATGGGCATTTGGGGAATGAACCAGCAGATGGAAACGCTCCCCCCCTCAACCCGTCACTCTGCCTTTCACGTAAATAAATAAATTTTTTTCCCGAAAATTCAAGATTCTTCTATCCCAGGCCCCCTTATAAAAGATTTATTTATTTCGCTGAAAGGCAGAGTTACGGAAACAGAGAAAGAGGAAAAGAAAAAGAGTACACGCTCTTTCAACTACTGGTTTACTTTCCAAAATGGCCAGAATAGCTGGGGCTGGGTCAGGGTGAAGCTGGAAAGCCACAATTCCATCTGGGTCCCCCACATGAGATGGTCCAAGTACTTGGACCATCTTCCTCTCCTTTCCCAGGAGAGGAGACAAATAGGAAGTGGAGCAGCCAGGACTCAAAGTCACTCGAATGGAAGGCTAGCATCACAGGCTGCCACTTAACTTGCTGCATCACAGCACTGAACATTTCCATCCATTTTAACTGCTTACTGTCTTATTTACTAGGTAAACGGCCAAAAATTAACAGCACTGGGACCAACACTGTGGTGCAGCAGGTGAAGCCACTGCTTGTGACACTGGATTCTCACATTGGAATGCCAGTTCAAGTCCTGGCTGTTCCACTTTTGATCTGGCATTCCTGATAATATTTGGGAAGGCAGAAGATGGCCTAAATATGTGGGCCCCTGCCACTCATGTGGGAGACCAGGATGGAGTTCCTGGCTCCTGGCTTCAGCCTGGCCCAGCTATGGTTGTTGCAACCATGGGAGTGGATGCACAGATATTCTCATTTATTCTCTCTCTCTCCATCCTTCCCTCCCTCTCTCCTTCTCTGTTGTTTTGCCATTCAAACATTCAAATAAACAAATCTCCTCTTTAAATTCATAGTCAGAGCTTCCAAATAATCACTGACAATGTTCTCTCATACTGATATCCCCAATCTCACTCTGTATCATTACTGCTATTCTATTTTACAAAGGAATCAAAATGGCTCTTTGTTTTTCCTAGGGAAGAAACCCAAGTTCTTTGGCATCACATTCACTTCTGTACCTAAATACTGGGAATACATAATGATAGGCAAAGACAGACAAGGGTAGCTAGTGCTGTGCAGTGCCAGGTAAAGAAGCCGCCTGCAGTGCCAGCATCCCATATGGATGCCAGTTCAAGACTCGGCTACTGCACTGCTGATCTATCTCTATGCTACAGCCTGGTCAAGCAGTACAAGATGGCCCAAGTGCTTGGGTCCCTGCACCTGTGTGGGAGACATAAGAAGAAGTTCCTGGCTCCTGGCTTTGGATCGGCCCAGCTCCACTTCTTGTGGCCACTGGGGAGTGAACCAGCAGATGGAAGACCTCTCTCTCTCTCTCTGCCTTTGCTTCTCTGTAAGTCTTCCTTTCAAATAATTGAATAAATCTTAAAAAAAAAAAAAAAAAACCTAAACAAACGAGGGACTTGCTGTCAGAGAGTTTAGCACCAATTTGAATAAGATGAATAATGACTATCTTTGCAAGTACTCATGCAAATAAAGGTAAAACGGCAACTATGATCAGTAC